AGGGACAGGACAAGGGGAATGGCTTTAATCTGCCAGAGGGAAGACTGAGCTGAGCTCTTAGGCAGAAGCTCTTCCCTGTGAGGGTGCTGAGGCGCTGGCACAGGGTGCCCAGAGAAGCTGTGGCTGCCCCATCCCTGGCAGTGCTCAAGGCCAGGTTGGACACAGGGGCTTGGAGCAAGCTGCTCCAGTGGCAGGGGTCCTTGCCTGTGGGAAAGACACAGGGAAGTGGAACCAGATGGGCTTTAAGGTCCCTTCCAACACAAATCCGTCTGGGATTCTAAGAAACCAGAAAACAGCCAGGGGAGCTCTCCTAGACCATGTAACCTGGGGGAGGTTGGGATGCAAAAGACGTTAGATATGGGATCCAGTGAGGCTAAATCAAATTGGAAACACAAACAGGGAGTAACACACCAGAATTCTGTGGGAAACGTACTTACTCACTTGAGAAGAAGCTGATCAGTCATTGCTAAATTATAACATTTACAGTCTTTGTAAGGTAAAAAAAAAAAACAACAACAGATTGTACAGTAGAAAGACACAGCAGAATTTAATGGGGAGAATGAAGAGGTAGGCTTTCAGGAAGTATTTGTGGCTGCTAAGGCTTATTGTTCAACAGTGTACTTTCACAGGTGGGCCCTGTTGTTTTAATTCTTCATGTCAGAGCACTAGGACTTATCAGCAGGAAACAAGCATATGTGGAATCCCAGGGCACCTCTTACTAGTCCACAGCAGGCTGAGAAGAAAACATTTAGGATGGACAAAACCAGTGCTTACCAATGAAGGGATCAATGACATGACGCTTTTTCACCTTGGTTTCAGTGATAGCAGCATAATAAGCACAAGTCATTTTGATGAGCCAAGCTGCTCGCATTACTGGAACAGTGTATTTTGCCAAATAACCAAAGACCTCTTCCTTTTTGCTAAAGATTGGCACCTGTAACAGAATTGAGAAGAACTGCAACCAGGAACAGAGACAGGAACTATTTCAAAGCAACTACACACACTGCAGGTGCTGCAAGCTGTGGAAAAGGTACTGTGTTGCTCTGCATCTCAAAACACTGCAAAAATTCACCTCTGGTCAGAAAGTACCAGATCCACATTTCAGTATAAACAGAAACAAAACAAACTGAAAGAAAACAGAAAACACAATTACATTACTGTAAATTCACACCCCGAATCCTGAAACAGCTTTGAGGGTATCCTCCAGAGGTGATATAAAAAACTACAAAAGATACAGACTAAGAACTGAGTCAGAAATGCACAGTATCTACTCCACAGACTGAAAACAGAACTCTTCATAGTGATTATAAAAGTCTTGTAACATCATGAAAAGCTTGTGAGAAACAGGGAATTTGAGTATTAAATTAGAAGGGATTCATAAAGCTGAGATTCAAAACTCAAGATACAATTTGGGGAGAATACCAGTGAAATCATCACACTGAAGATCTATAAACCAGGAAGCAGTAACACATCACAACAAACAGCACAGCCGTGGGGCTCACTTGCACAAGTATTATGGAGAGCAAAAGTATGCCCATGTTCACAGAGGAATGAGACAAATTCACAGGGAATGTGTCCATTTGAGAGCTAGCTCCAAGTCTCCCACTACCTGAACTACCAATGCTTCAATCACTTACTTGCTGTGTTTCTTACATTCTTCCCAACCATTCTGACGCCTCAGAGACACACAGACAGACTACTTGGCTACAGAGTCACTACTTCCATGTCTAAGTCCATGAAAACTGATGGAGCCCATTGCAGAAATCTGGGGAGGGCCTCAAAACGTTCGATCTTTCAGAGTGACCTCAGGAAACTGACAGCCAGCATGCAAAGACAGACGGAAGGACTACGTTTATAAAGAGACAGATTCTGTGAAAATCTGATTATTTTCCCCCCAGAACACTGAGGACCAAGCTCCAGCTTCTAAGCTACTTCTGCTACCGTTTCACAACTGGAGGTTATGTTTTCACTCAATACATACCTGATTCCTGAGTTCCTTATTCACAGGCCCACCCTGACAAAGAATCAGCTCCCCCTGCTATCAGGCCTCATACAATGCAGAGTAAGACCCTTCTATCTTCTTTCGTATTCTACAGAGTTCAGCGCTGTCAGGGAACTATCTAGCCCTGGGTGCAAGGGCACAGGAATGCTGTGGCCAGGCTGAGACCAAGCTATAGTACACATACACTTCTCAACTTAAAACCAGAAACTTGTCACTGCAACCAAAGCCTGGGAAGTCACTCAGCTGATTATGCTCAGTAATTGTCACTGGCTTTTGAGAACTTGACAAGCCCTCCCAATATGAATAGCCCTAATCCAAACAACAGAGCAGAGGCAACTGTGGCAGTTGGCTGAAAAACTAGCCAAACCTTTAAACAGATCAGTCGTATCATGCAAGCAAAAAACTTGCACAACCTCCAAACAACAGACAAGGAATCTGTTCCCTGAGTGGGGATGACAAAGCCAGTGCACTACAAAGCCTGGATACTCTTTTCAAGCCGAAAGCTTCACGAGATGAAGAGAGAAAAAACATCTCCAAATAATAAAAGCCTTCTACTATAGAAACATTTCAGAAACAAGCAGAGATTAAACGCTCTGCCCTGCCAGGCAGCCTCTCCTGTGACATACCTTCTTAGCGAGATGAGTGAGGGGCTTAGTTCCAGCCAGGTCTGTGAACCAGTTGTTTATGGCACTCTGGGAACGTGCTGTCACCAGCCAAAAGTTATCCTTCTGATTCACCTGAGGTTTCCGTCTTCCTGTGTCAGGCAATGTATTGCACCGCAGCTTTTCTGCGATAATACTGCTAAAATTTGAGCTGATCTGGGGAGGACAAGGGGGAAAGGAAAAAAAAAAAAAAAGATGAATTACAGGTTCATAGGTCAGAGATCTATTCTGTGTGCTTAAGATCTCATTTATCATTCCTACCAGCAGTCTCCCCAGTATCTACACACAAAAAACCCCAGCACATAGTCGCCTTTGTTGTACTTGCAGAGAGGAATGTTTCTAGACAACTCATAAAATGACCAAGCAGGGACTCAAGTTGAGACAGACACAGTTCTCTATAAACACCTGTCAAACCAGACAGAAGGCTTCGTGGACAGATGTCAGCCAAGGCAAACAAATAAACTGTGCTTACTGATGCCTGACATCCCAGGTCACCACTAGTCCTCTGGTCAGGGAGGCCAGGAAGTCAACATCTTGATTTAAGAATTACAAATTACAAAAAGGAATTGAAGCCCATGTTTAAAATGCCAGAGGTTTCGAGAAATCTTACTTCTCTTCTACCATGGCCATAATGTAACCAAACCAGTAAGTTTCTCATTTCCAGTATCCTAGCCTTCTGCTTCAATTATGGAATATAAGAACTATATAAGAATAAAGGAACTCTGGATGCTGGTTTAACATAAACCAAGACAAGAACCTACTCTCTCAAAGGTGGGACACAGTTCCAAGAGAATGCAGAACTTTGACTCTACAGGGAGAGTTAGGTCCTGAGATACTCAGCCTGAAGGGAAGGGTTTCCTGGGCCTGGACACCAGGAAGGAACGAGCCCCAGCACTGTCCAGGACCCAGCAGCCTACCCGCACAGGCACCAGGCGCTGCCGAGCCCCCACGGCCCGCCCGGTGCTTACCTTCGCCGGGTTGAAGTTGACATTTTTGGCACTGCCGTGCTCGTCCCCGGAGACCGCCGGCTGGTTGTTGAAGCCTTGCTTGACGTTCAGCGCAGTCAGCTCGTCCTGCGAGGGAAGCGCGGTCAGCAGGGCCCGCCGAGGCCGCTCCGCACCCCACGGCCACGGCGGCTCGGCCAGCGCGGGGCCGAAGCGAGGCGCGGGCCCGGCGGATGCCGGCCTCCCCCAGGCCCCCGGTGGCAGGCAGCGCCCCTGCCGAGCTCTGGGACACGGGAACCCCGGCTCCCTGGGCCAGGCCCGGGTCGCTTTCGCCCAACCACCGCAGGGACGCCCGCGGGGCTCCTCACCCAGCCCCAGCCCTGTCGCGGGCTGCAGGCATGAACCCCGGCCCCGCGCCCCGGGACCCCCGCACCTCCTTTTGCTTGGGGTCCTGTGGGTACACGTCCGGCGGGCCGAGACGCGGGCGCTTCAGCGGGCGGTGCTCGTAGCTGAGGACGCCGAAGGCCGCCATCCCGGGCCGGCGCGGCCACAACAACGGCCGCGGGGGCTACCCGCGCCTGCGCCCTGTGCCGGGAACTCCCGAGCACTGCCGGAGAAGCCCGAGTGCCGCGATGCTGTCACAAGCGCTCCGAGAGGAGGCGGAGCGACCCGAAGCTGCGCCGAGGAAAGACGAAAAGTCCCGGGCGCCGCAGGGCAGGGCCCGAGCCTACGCCGAGCGGAGGCGGAAAGTGCCGAAGAATCCGAGGGGCGCTGCGCCGGCGAAGCGCTGGGCTGAGGTCACGTGGTATCACTCGGCTATGGCCGTTCTGCTCCCGCCGATCCCAAAGCCCGGAGCATCCGATAGCCCGGGACACCCCCATAGCCCGGGACACCCCCCATAGCCCGGGACACCCCCCATAGCCCGGGACACCCCCATAGCCCGGGACACCCCCCCATAGCCCGGGACACCCCCATAGCCCGGGACACGCCCCCAAAGCCCGGGATACCCCCATAGCCCGGGACACCCCCCCAGAGCCCGGGACACCCCCCCATAGCCCCGGACACCCCACACCACCACCGACGCCCCCGAGCACACCCCTGTGGCTGTGCTGGTGACCGTTCCCCTGTCACTGCCCATCACTGGCACCACCACTGCGCCCCACAACAGTGCCTGTAACTGTCCCCTGCCCCTGCAGCTGCTCCTGCGAGTGCCTTGGTGCCTGACCCCGGCTCCACCGCAGTGACTGCCAGCGCTGCCCAGTCCCGGGGGCCCAGCCCAGGATGCCCACGGGCGGGCTGTGGGTCACGATCTCCACGCAGACTCTGCTCGTGGGGGCCAGAGCTCGTGGGATGAGCCGTGGGGACACAGCAGCATGGGCCAGTGGTGAGCAGAGGGTGAGCTGTGGGGCCTGGGCAGGAAGGCTCACGAGGCCCCACTGTGATGGGCGCTCGGGCCCTGTTGGAGTGAGCCGTGTTTCCCACAAGAGTCACCCGTGGGGCGGTGCCATGGGGCAGGAAGCGGCCTGGCTGCGGAAGCGGCAGCCCTGCGTGGTGGGCTCTGCGCTGAGGCTGCTCGCACCCATCCTGCGGCTCACCCCGCCATGGCAGCGCTCAGCACCTTCCTTGCCTCTCTTCTCCTCTTTGGGCTGGGCCCCTACCTTGCTGGTGCCCGCAGCCCCCCAGGTAAGGGGGCACATGGGCCCCGGCACAGGGCTGGAGGCTGTGGTTGCCACATGGGTGGTGGGGCTGGGGGATGTTGGTCCCTGGTGACCCTGAGGACGGGGTGTGGGGCTGTGTGGGCCAGCGAGCCCCTGGGAATAGCTGGGAATGCTGTGACTGCGCCACTGCATCCTGGGACCCCCAGCACTCTTATGGCCCCTTGAGTGGGACTGCCAGAAGAGCCACGCTCTGCTTGGGGGCCCTGTTGGGAGTCCTTGCTCCTTCCCCAGTGCTAGAGCACGGCTGCCGGCTGCCTCCGGGGCCTATGGCACTACTGGCCCCATAGCTCCCGGCCCTATGGCTCTGATGGTGCTGGCCCTGTCAGTGCTACAGGAGGGACACTGGCCATGGGGTCCCCTGTGGCAGGCCGGGACAAGGGGCAGGAGCAGGACATTGATGTGCAGGTCTATCAGCCCCATGCATCAGACGGTGGATCTGTGCCAGCCGCCCTTTTCATCCCGCTCTTGTCAGTGGGGCCATGCTCAGGAAGGAGATGGGGGCTGGGGACAGTGGCTCCTCTTCCCGCCAGCACCCTCACCCCAGCCACTGTTTCCTAATGAGAAGTCCACTTCTTGGCACGTGTCAGTAAAACAGCAGCTTCCCATGGAGCTGCAGCCCCCCCGTATCCCTGCACCTCCCGGCCTGCCAGGAAGCTGCCCTCCATCTCCAGATGCAGAAACAGCCAGAGAGCAAAGCCTGTTTGCTCCATCACGTTAACATTACAACCCAATGTTTGCTCCATCACGTTAACATTACAACCCAACAGCTCTGGCTTCCTCCTAGCCCCGCGGTGCTGGCTGGTGGGTTGGACCTCACAGAACGGAGCACGTGTCCCATTGCCTGGGTTCTGGGGGGAAATACCATCTTCGGGGAGCCCCCAGGGTGGCTCGCAGCCACCAGCAGCTGCTGTGATGCTTGCAAGGGCTCTGTGAGTGCCCCAGTCCATTGCAGTTGCTCATTCTGCAGTGAGCTGTGCCATTGCTGCCGGACCAGCACTGCAGCGGGGGCCCCGCAGCCCCCAGCCAGCCCAGGATGTGGCTTCTGGTTGTGTGTCAGGCCCAGGGCTGGCACAGCGTGGTGGAAGGAGGGGGCAGAGGAGATGGTGTCGTGCCTGGGGCAGCTGCTCAGCCTCTGGCACTCAGCAGTGCTTCCTATGGAGGCTGAACCGCCAGGGTCTGTGGTGGAGGGGCTGCAGTGGGGAGCACGGCCCCATTCACCAGACACGAGGACACGTGGGCACCTGTGAGCATCCAAAAGGGTGACAGCGAGAAGAATTTAGCCAAGATGGAGACATCAGGCACAAACCCTGGAAAATGCCCCTGGTTTTGATGGGGCAATCAAATGGGTTGGCAGGGAGGGATTTCCGTCCTGTCCCACAGTGCCAGGGGCTGTGAACTGCAGATGAAGGGAGTGGATGAAAACATCGGGGTGAAACAGCACATCCAAGCAGAGGAGCCAACAGCAGGGATGCTGCAGGGAGAGCTGCTTGGCCAGCGCTCCTCTGGAGCAGGATGCGCGGCATCACCAGCACAGCCTGTGTGACAGGGATGGTGGGGGACCGGCACCGTGGGCTGGGAAGAACCAGGCTGGCTTGGCTCACGTGGAGGAAAGCCAAGGGGATGTGCAGCGCATCCTGGCCCGTGCCATGCCTGCCCAGCGCACCCCTGGCACGGCCACTCACCAGCGCAGTGCCCAGCAGTGCCTGTCCCTTGCAGGGGTGGAGTGTGTCCTCTTCAACGAGGAGTACATGACCTGCACATGGGGGAGCAGAGAGACACTCACAGCCAACTACTCCCTCTACTACTGGTAGGTGCCACTGCCCCTCGGCCAGCCCCATAGCAGGGTGTCCAGCAGTGGGTCCCCACATAGGGGTCTCCTGCCAGCGTTGCTGGTCCCAGCAACAACCTGCTCCTCTTCCCCAAGCCCAGAGTGGGGGACGCTCTGTCCCCAGAGCAAGAGGGGTGGAAAGTGCTGGCGAGAGGGGTGCTGGGGAGGGCTGGGCGCATGCAGGGTCTTGGGGAGCTCTGGTAACCTCTTGTGGCACAGGTACGGGAAAGCATCCCCTGTGGTGGAGTGCAAGCACTACCTGCAGGACCATGGCATCAGCGTTGGCTGCCGCTTCAGTCAGGACGAGATCATCCAGTTCCAGCCTTTCCATGTTCTCCTCAACGCCACTCTCGGCAGCAGGACCATGAAGATACTCAGCAAGAGCATGGAGCTGCAGGACCTGGGTATGGAGTGGTGGGGGGCACACACTGTCCTCTGTGGGGCTGCTGCAGGGGCCAGAAGCTGGGCTGTGGGTCCCCAGGAATGCCCCATTATGTCCCAATTGGCGTTTGGGCCACTGGGGCATGGGGAACGGCACTCACTGGGCATCCCCTGTGCCCTACAGTGAAACCAGAGGCACCCGTGAACCTGACCATCCACAATGTGAGCAACAACCAGCTGCAGCTGACCTGGAGCTCCTCATACCCCAAAGCGCAGTGCCTGGAGCACGCTGTTAAGTACAAGAGCAACAAGGACACCAGCTGGACGGTGAGAGCCCCCGGGACACAACCACTGTGCCTGGGGACCAGCCATGCACCACAGCAGTGCTGGCCCTCAACACACGGCCCACATCTCCCTGCAGGAGCACCTGGTGAATGGAGACATGTTCTCCTTTCCCAGCATGGACCATGAGAAGTACTACACCTTCTATGTGCGCAGCAAGATCAACAGCTACTGTGGCAGCACCCAGCTTTGGAGCGAATGGAGTGTCCCTGTGGTCTGGGGCAGCAACTCCACCAGCAAGGGTAGGCCCTGAATGCTGCAGTGGGACAGGGTGGGCTGGGGGATGGTTGGGATTGGCAGGCAAGGGCCACTATCGTGCCCACCCTACTGCCATGGTGGTGCACCAGTGTGGGCCCATGTCACCGCGGCTCTTTCCAGGCGCAGCAGAGGAGCAGCTACACTGGTTCTGGATCCACACAGTCTTAGTCCCCATTGCCTCCTGCCTGATCTTGCTGGTCCTGGTCATCCTGCTGGTGCGCATGGAAAGGTGAGGGGGGGACGGGGGGCTGATGAGAGGCAGCATCGCTGGGGCTCTTCTCCAACACGTCTGTCCCGCGCAGGGTGTGGGTCATCCTCATGCCCCGGATCCCCAACCCCAGCAAGAACTTCGATGAGCTCTTCATCACCCACAATGGCAACTTCCAGGTAAGACATCTGCAGGCAGCCCTGCCCCGGGCTCATCCCTGCCCCGCTGGGAAGGGCTCTTCTCATCCCACTCTGCTCCCTGCAGGAATGGGCTGGAGTCCCCAAAGATGTCGTGGAGAGCTTCAAGCCCAACTACAGTGAGAACATCTGCTACGTGAGCGAGCTGCCCCCCAACAACAGCTATGAGCCCCTTTGGGAGGGCAGCAACCACCCCCCGTCTGCGGTGCCTGGGCCCACCCCCCCCTCCAAGCACAGCCCCTACAAGAACAGCTACATGGGGGTGTGATGCACCGCTGCACCCTGCGCCCTGCATGACTGCACCCTGCAGTCTGAACCCTGCTGCTCCGTGGCCCTTGCTACCTGCTCACACCCAAATCCTGGGACCCCCAGCCCTGCTCCCTGCCACAGCCCCAGTGACCCCACAGCTGCAGGGTGTGGGGTGAGCACCAGCAGCACCGCACGGTGTAGTGTGTGTCCTGCACGGTGCTCAGTGCGCAGTGCACAGCACCATGCGTGTGCTATTTCATAAAGTCAACCATGCTGGAAAAGCCCTTTCAGCTCCTCCAGTCCAACCCTTACCCCAGCACTGCCAAGGCCACCCCTAACCCATGGCACTGAGGCTTTGCCTCCACGCTGTGTGAACACTCGCAGGACCAGTGCCTGCAGCCCTGCCCTGGGCAGCCTGTTCCAATGCCTGAGCACCCTCTGGGGCAGGAATTGGTCCTCAGCTCCATCTAAACCTGCCCTGGTGCAGCTTGAGGCCGGTTCCTCTTGTCCCATCCCTTGTTCCTTGGGAGCAGAGCCCAGCCCCTCCTGGCTCCATCCTCCTGTCAGCTCCTCTATGGGGTGCACTGGGTGGTCTGTGGGGTGCAGTGCCCACAGACATGGGGACACAGGGACAGGGGTCTATGGGGATGGGGGGACACAGGAGTGGGGTCACACCGGGACTCAGGGATATGAGGGAAGGGGGGCATGAGAGTAAGGGGACACGGGTACGGGGGGACACGGGTACGGGGGGAACACGGGTACGGGGGGACACGGGTAGGGGGGACACGGGGACTCACTTCCTCTCGCGGTGCCGTAGCGCCCCCCAGCGGCGAGCAGCTGCAGCGCGGCTGGGCGTGTCCTCCGCGCTTGACGGACAGGTAACTTTCCGTGCCTGCCCACGTGGTTCGCCGGCTTCCGCCCCCTTGCCGCCGATTGGTGGGATTGTGGCGGAGGCCCCGCCTCCTCTCGGCGGTGATTGGCGGAGGCGCGGCAGCTGCTACGCCCCCCGCGGCTGGGGCTACCGCGGAGCCCGGTCAGTGCTACCGGCGGTGGGGACCGGTGCCGGTCACCGGCGCGGCGCGGGCTCACGATGATCGTGTGTCCACAGAGCGTGGAGCACCCCCGAGGAAGCCGGTGCCAGCGGCTGCCGGGGCAGGTAGGACCCGCCCCGCCGCCACCGGAGCCCTTACCGGAGCACCAGGCTGGGCTCTGCTCGCCGCCACCGGCCTGGCCCGGCGCAGCACTAGCAGGCCAGGGCATTCCGGTCCCCCGGCGGTGTTACGCGGGGTCGGCGGGGTCGCGCTCTCTCGATGCGGTGGCCGGCGGCCCGGTGCCGGTACCGGCGCGGCAGCGCCGTCCCCGTCCCCTTTGTGCGGGATGCGGGAGGCGCCGTGCCTCCATCACTGCCAATCAAACTTGTTTTTCTCTCTCCGCCTGCACTGCTCGCGCCGCGCACCGGGGGCGCTGCCGCCGCCGCTCGCACAATGGGGCCCCAGTTACCGGCCGGCAGCCCCTCCGTAGGGACCCCCCACCGCCGGCATTAGCAGCTTTCCCGGCCCCCTCGAGAACCGGGGCGGGCGAGGGGTGCCCGCTGCGGCCGCGTCCTCAGCGAGCATCACCGGAGGAGCCACCGGTCCCAGCGGTGTCGCCTCGCGGGCGAACGGAGCCCCGGGGGTGGCGGGCGGGGGACAGGCGGAGCCCCGGCCCCTCTCCCGCGGCTTCCGGCGCTGCCCGTGCTCGCTCCGGGCTCAGGGCCTCCTGCCCCGTCCGCACGCACGGTGCCGCCCACCGGTTGTCAGCCCGGGGGTGCCTGGGGGGGTCACGGCTCTTGGGCACGGAAAGGACCCGAGGGGGGTGAGGGATGCGCTCAGCGCGCAGGCACGAGGAGGAGGAGGAGGAGGGTTACAGCTGGAGAGGCTGAAGAAGGTGGCCCTGGGGGCAGTGCAGGTGGCAGTGCCAGGGGCCACCGGGCTGAGCCGTTGCCGTATGGAGCAGGCAGGAGAGCCCAGCCGAGGTGGAGGCTGCCCTGCGGCTTCCTTCATCCTCCCCTTCTAAGCCACGTCTGCCTGGTCCCTGACTCCATCATCACCTGGACAAAGAGCAAGGAGAGCTGGAGCTATGGGCTGGTGGCATGGCTCCTTGCTGGAGATGACGTTCTCCGGGGAGAGCAGAAGGGCCCCTTGCTCCTCCACCTCTGCCCACCAGGAGAAGACCGGTGGCTGTAGTCCGTAGGTGTCCTCAGGGACATTTCACCTCATGTCCATGACGTTCCACCAATGTCCTGCGCGTTCCCCTGAGCAGGGGGACTTCCATAGGTGTCCTCTGGTTTGCACCTCCTCCTGTGGGACAGAGAAGCCGGTGTTCTTCACCCCTCACCATTCTAATTTGAGTTTTGGGTGCTCTTTTGGCCCTGTTTGGCCAGAGGGAGCAAAGAGAAAGCTCCAGATGGCGTCAAGTAAATCTTTTGATTCCGAGCACTGGTGTGTTCCTCAGAATTGCAGGATGGTAGAAGACAGCTGGAGGTTGTTCCTGCAACCGCTCCGTGCTCTGCCGGGCAGGGACAGCCCGAGGTCACAGTGGAGCAGGCACTGGTCTCCAGCAGTGCTCCTGGTTTGCTGCTGCAGTGCTGTGGTTGCCTTTGGGTGGGTGGAAGGAAGGTGACAGCGGTGTCAGTGGGGCCGGTGGCTCCCTGGAGAGATTTGGGTTTGAGCCTGGGAGGGGAGGAGCAGCCACTGCACCCGAGGGTGCTGCCCAGGCTCAGGAGTGGTGGCTTTGTCACAGGGTTTGTGGCCAGGCTGCAGGCGCAGAGCAGCTGTTGGGTGGGAGGTTGGAGCACAGCCGTGGGGCTGCCCGGCTGCACATCCCTGCTCTCTGCTCCGGCCACGTTCTCTGTGGTGCTGGGGCCATGGATGGGCGCCCCTTGCCACGTTCCCACCTGTGTTTGCACTGGTGGCCGGGTCTCGTGTGCTGCAGGAGCTGCCTGGGGAGTGCAGGGCATGGGGACACCTCTGAACCCCCCAGTGTGCTCCTGACCGTATGATGGGTGTCAAGACATCACTTCCCCCTTGGCTCTCCAGGGCAGGGGCCCGAGAGCTTGGTGCTGATGGGAAGGGTGATGGGATGCTCCATCCTAGGAGACCTTGCCTTTGCCTCAGCCTGCAAGAAAACATCAGTCCTGGTTTGCCCAGTGCTCTCCAGGCAGGGACCACCCCGTGTTTCTTGCAGCCTGCTGCTAGCAGTGACTGTGCCCGGCAGTGCCCAGCTCCCCCGGCCCTCTGACCCCACGGTGTCCTTCTGGGAGTACCAAGCCAGGAGAGGGAATCCCAGCCCCTCGCAGAGCCTGGGCCCGGCTGGGGTGCGCGGCTGCCTCGGGAGGGCTCAGGGAAGTGTTCCCCACAGGTAGTGAAGATGTCCGGCAGCGATCCCGAGCGGCCCCAGCTCCTTTTCGTGAAGGTGCTGGCGAGCTGGGGGCGGCTGGAGGCGGTGACCCAGCAGATGGGCTACCACCCGCAGTACCTTGACAGCTTCCTCAAGACGCAGCACTACCTGATGCACATGGACGGGCCGCTGCCCTTTGACTGCCGGCACTACATCGCCATCATGGTGAGTGCTGCCGGGCTGCCCAGGGACACGGGGGGCACCCTGCTCCCCTTCACCAGCGAGCCGGTGCTCCCAGGCTGCTCTGCAGTCAGGGTGGGCCAGGGCTGGGGCAGGTGGGTGCGGGGTCGCAGGGTGCTGGTCCTGCCGTGCGGCCCTGGTGACGTGCTGCTCCTGCAGGCAGCTGCCCGGCACCAGTGCCGGTACCTGGTGAACCTGCACGTGCTGCAGTTCCTGCGCGCGGGGGGAGATCCCCAGTGGCTGCGTGGCCTCGACTTCATCCCCCCAAAACTCCGCAACCTCAATGAGATCAACAAGATCCTGGCGCACCGGCCATGGCTCATCACCAAGGAGCACATCGAGGTATTGGCAGAGGGGCTGTCAGACAGGGAGAGGGCAGTGGCAGGGGCAGTAGCATCCCCCGGGGGGCCGGCACCCTGCCTGTGTCCCATGGCTGGTCTGTCTGTGTCCTGCAGAAGCTGCTGAAGATCAGCGAGTGGAGCTGGTCGCTGGCAGAGCTGGTGCACGCTGTTGTCCTCCTGGCCCACTGCCACGCACTCGCCAGCTTCGTGTTCGGCTGTGGCTGTGAGCAGGACGAGGGGCCTGGGGGCCGGGCCGTGCTGAAGCCTTTGTCCCCCGGGAACCAGTGCTTCTGTGAAGCCACCACTGGCAACAGCTGCAGCCAGGAGCTGCTGCGCATCAACCGCAAGCGGGTGAGCCCTTGAGGTGGGTGCATGGGGGCCAGGGCTGCGGCCGGGGCTGCTGCCCTCACCCCAAGCCTGTGTCTGTGCAGTCCCTGGACTCCTGCATGGAGCTGGATTCCCTCCGGGAACGCATGCAGCGGATCCACGTGGAGACAGAGGGCAGGGAGGAGGCCAGGCTACTGCAGCAGGACCGAGAGGAAGGTGAGAGGCATGAGTGGAGGTGGGTGTGCAGGGTGGGAGGAGCAGCAGGGCTGAGCATCAGGCTGCCCCATCCGTGGGGCTCTCCCCTCTCGCAGATGCCGACGGGGCACTCACCGGTGCTGCCAACCTCGCGTGCTACATGCAGGACCCCGACTTCGGGTACCAGGACTTTGCCCGACGTGATGAGGATCAGACGCAGGTATTCAGAGTCCAGGTGAGGTTCCTGCTCTTCCCGCCTCTCCCATCCTCCCCGCGGCCGCAGGGTGCCTGCCCAGCACACATCTGGCACAGCTGCTTTGGTACCATGTCTGTGCAGGGAAGCTCAGCTCCGAGAGGGGCCTGGCCCCGTGAGCCCTGGGCAGAGGGAGGGGACCAGGGGCTCCTGTCCCCCAGGACTGCTGATCCCTTTGCATTTCACCGGGTTCAGAACCTGCCTGATGAGGGAAGCTGTGTTTTGTGGCAAAGCAGGCCCAGAGCAAACTTACTGAATTCTGCTGCATCCTGAGGTCTGCAGCCCCTCGTTCCTGGAAACAGACCCCAGGAGCCTATTTCCAGTAGTAAAAGGCTCTTGCTGTGCTCAACAGGATTACTCCTGGGAAGACCATGGCTTCTCACTGGTCAACCGCCTCTACTCTGACATCGGGCATCTCCTGGATGAGAAGTTTCGTATGGTGGATGGTCTGCAGAGCAGCACCATGGCCAAGCGGCAAGGCTGCGAACCCTCGGTCTTCAAGCGAGGCATCTGGAACTACATCCACTGCATGTTTGGCATTAGGTAGGGAAAGCAGCCTCATGGTGACAGAGCTCAGGCAGGAGGGAGGAGGGTCGGGCACTTGGCTTGTCTTGCAGATGGGCTGGGGAAGGCAGCAGAGGGGAACTGCCTCCCGGGGTGAACAGGCAGGGGAGAGGTGCTGGGTTTCGGCCAGGGCGCTTCCTTCAGGGTTGGGACTGCAGTACCTGGTGAGCGCTGCCGTGTGCCCCTGCCCCGGCAGAGCACAGGGGAGGCGCTGCAGAGTGCCGTGGTGCCGGCGCGAGTCCCCCTGTGCTCCCTGCAGGTACGATGACTACGACTATGCAGAAGTGAACCAGCTCCTGGAGCGAGCGCTCAAGGTTTACATTAAAACTGTCACCTGCTACCCGGAGAAGACAAACTCAGAAATGTTTGACAGGTTCTGGAGGCAGTTCAAGCACAGTGAGAAGGTGGGACGGGCAGCGCCTGCAGGCCGACGTGCTCGGGGCTGGATGGGAGGCGTTTGGGACCCCAAAGCAGGCGGGTGGAGGGGGGATGGAAACTGAGGAGTTGGGGTTAGCACAGCCCGAGGCCGCCCACAGTGCACGGGCTCCAGGGCCATGGTCCCACCAGAGACAGCCTCCGGCAGCTCTTGGCGCAGTGGTGGGTGCTGGGCACTGTGGGTGCCGGGAGGCAGCCACAGCCTGCGGGGCCAGGAGGAGCCCGGGGGGAAGTGCTGGGACGCGTGGGGGAATTTTGTCCTGTGCCAAAGCCTCCCTAACCCCCATGGGTGCTTGCCTGCCCCGCTGTGCTGTCTGCATCCTGCCTGCCCCACTGCCTGTCTGCTGCGCTGTCTGCCCCCTGCATGCCCCATTGCTTGCTCTGCTGCATCGTCTGCCCCCTGCATGCCCCATTGCTTCCTCTGCTGCATTGTCTGCCCCCTGCATGCCCCATTGCCTGCTCCACTGCAGTGACCTCAACTGCTTTTGCTTGTCCTGCAGGTCCACGTGAACTTGCTCATCCTGGAAGCCCGGATGCAGGCAGAGCTGCTGTACGCGTTGCAAGCCATCACCCAGTACATGGTCTCCTAGGCCGTGGGGAGCTGCGCTCCTCTCTCTGGACTCATGCTGGGACCGATGGCGAGGGATTGCTCCATTGAGTTTACTTGACTGTCTTGTTCCCTTTTCCCCCGTGTGGGGCTCACTGAGTGGCCCCATTATGTGCAATTACCAAACTGTGAGGCAAGTCCGTGCTGCTCGATGTTGGTGTGATCCTGGAGACTTGACCCTGGCCGAGGAGGACCGCCAAAGGCATGGGGCAGGGGGAGGCGGGAGGGCACCGGGGCTGCAGCGGGACCAGAAGCTCCTTGCCTGGGCGCCGCAGGAGCCGTGGCCGAGGGCAGGGGGGGCAGAGCTGCTCCCCCCCGGCGCGGGGGGGCAGGGGCTGTGCTGGCGGCCATGCCCATGCTGACCACGGGGTCTGTGCACCAGAGCCCCCCTGGAGGTGAGCCCCTGGCTGGGAGGCTCCCCCTGGCACTGGTGCCCCTGTGCTCGGCCTTGGCTGCTGGGGCTGAGGTCTCTGCCGGTGCTCAGGCGCTGGAAATGGCTGCAGGAGGCTTTGGGAAGCTTGTGCCGAAGCCCCCCTCTGCCCCCCATCAGCAGAGGGGCCGGAGGAACGAGGGAGGCTTCTGAGTTAATGCCGTGGGGGGGCTTGCACCGCGTGAGGGTGAAGCCCGAAGCCTGCTCACTGCTGCTTAACCTCGAGGTGCAGGAGCGCGGTGGGAGCATCTTGACCCTGGGCTGGGGGGGGAGCACCATCCCATGTGAATGGAGACAGCCCCAGCCTCTGCCCACGGGCACAAGTGTGCACCCCCTGCCTGCTGCTCCCCACTTGTGCCGCAGCCCCACGGTGGGAGGGGTGGGGGGTCCAGCATGGAGGGCAGCCACAGCAGGGGGGCAAGGCCATGGGGGAGCCTGAGCCCCACGCTCGTTGCTGCACTCAACGTGTTTACTGTGTAAAGGTAGGGGGAGAAAACCTTGTGTATGGAAGCTACAGAGAATAAGCCTATTTTTGCTATAAATCCATTATGTTTGACACGGCTGCGTGCTTCATTTCTGCCAGATGCTGGGGGGGTTCCTGCCCGTGGGTCAGTGCTGCAGCCGCAGCGCTCTGCCCCTGCAAAGCAGCGCTGGCCCCCCAGGGCTGGGGGACGTGCACAGGAGCCAGCTCCCAGGACGGGTGGGCCCTTCAGAAGGGAGCAGTGCACCCCAGGCAGCTCTGCTGGCAGCAGCCCCATGATGCTGCCTGGGGGCAAGGGCGGCCCAGCCCCAGGACATCATAAAATAGAACATACACTGCTTTGGGTTGGAAGGGACCTTAAAGCTCCTCCAGCTCCAACCCCTGCCACAGGCAGGGACCCCTTCCACTGGAGCAGCTTGCTCCAAGCCCCTGTGTCCAACCTGGCCTTGAGCACCGCCAGGGATGGGTGTAAAGCGGGTTCCCGTTTGCCCCCCACCTATGCACACAACGATGGCTGTGCAGGAGCCAGGGCAGCTGCCGCTTGCTCCAACACAGAACAACCACCAGCTGCAGCAGCAGGATGAAGGGCTCCATGGACTGTGACCCTGACCAGGACCTTGCTGCTGGCAAGGCCAGGAGAGAGCGCCAGTCCCCTGCCCAACACAAACTTGTCCGTTTGGGACCTCAGAGCAGCAGAGAGCAGCAGATGAAGCAACCACCTACTCGAGTCACCAAAGTTAACATCGCATCCCAAGCAGGTCTTGTAGCAGATGAGCCCAGTGGGGGGGATTCTGTCACTGGAGAAGCGTTGACCAGACATTACAGGACAGACTGACACCCACACCAGTAACTGCAGGTCAGCTTCTGAAACCCAACTTCAATGCTTCGACTCTGCCCTGCTGCCCCCTTCACCTGCTCAGACGAGGCTGTTCCTCTGTTGCGCTGGGACCGGGAGGAGAGCTGCCACGTTCCTCTGCAGGGACCTGCAGGACGCCCAGCACGCCTGCATGGGAGCCAGGACACTGCGGCCTTACCTGGACCTGCTGAGGGGAGGATGCGGGCGCACACCCACAGCAGTCACCGGCTCTGCTGCAGGAGCCTGGAGCACGAAGGCAGGGTCAGCCAGGACTGGCTCTGCAGCAGCCAAGCTGTCCCGAGGCTGCGGGGGGGGGGGCTGCAGAGAACAGGGAGCAGCACAGCAGTGCTCACTGCCACAGCCCTGCCACGCACACATCAGGAGCACACTGGTGGCTGCTGGCTCTGACCATAGAGGTGGAGGGGGTAAAAACCAGCACATGGGAGCTGGGGACGGCCTGGGCTGCCATGAGCCAGCAGCGTGCCCCCACCATCTCCCCACTGCCCAGCAGTGCCATCCCCATGTGCCAGCTCCTCCACCACAAAAGCCATGTGAAACAGCACAGGAGCCTCTCCCAGCGTGCTCTAACACAGGGTCCCATCACTGGTGGCACAGGAGAAGTGTTCATTGCTCAGCAAGCACCAGCGGAAAGCAGGTCCCTGGCCAGAAGCTGAGCTGAGCAGTGAAACTGGTGCACTGTGTTCAGGTACTGCAGCTCTACAGGCACCTCCTCCATAGGGCAAAATGAGTGTGGTGACAACCAGGGGGAGCTGAGAGGTCTCCAAGAAAGGCTGACCTACTGCACATCAGGACCACTGAACCCACATAGCTGTGGGGACTACCCAGAGCCACCGAACCCTTGTCCCACCTGGCATCTGTTCCATGCTCTGCTCTCCCTGGCAATGCTAAAGTACCCGGTACCAATTGGCATAAAAAGCACCAAATGGGGGAATGCACGGTCCCTGCTCTGTTGAGTTTTGAATCCATCCACTCTGACCCGATCTGCAAAATCCACCCCAGCAGCCCCATTACACTTGTGCAGGAAGCACTAAGAAGTGCCCAAGGAGCAGATACAGGACATACAGCTTCCCTAAGGAGCTCCCATGTTTAGCGTTGCCTCTGTAAACATCCTGACTTTGCTCCATGTCTAACCAGGTCAGTGCAATCCTTCACCCGTTTCTCTCTGAGCTTCTTACCTGCCTCGGCTCCAAAGCCACATGATTGAAGCTCTGAACTGCTCTCATCTTCTGCAGGGCCTGTCCTGAGCTGGGGTGCAGAGAGCAACCCCAGGGCAGAGGGGCTCCATGTCCTGCAGCTCCATCCCCACTGTGAGCACAGACCTGCTCGCATCATACAAATGGTTTGTGTTGAAGGGACCTCAAAGCTCCTCCAGCTCCAACCCCTGCCACAGGCAGGGACCCCTTCCACTGGAGCAGCTTGCTCCAAGCCCCTGTGTCCAACCTGGCCTTGAGCACTGCCAGGGATGGGGCAGCCACAGCTTCTCTGGGCACCCTGTGCCAGCGCCTCAGCACCCTCACAGTTCAAATGATGGGTTTTGATTCAAGGGCTCCAGCACGTTCCTCAAAAGCTGCTTCACTGGCTCAGCCTGTATCTGCATCCCCACCTGCTTCCTGCCAAGGGAGGAGGCCTTAAGGCACTTAGCTGAAGCCTGCTCCTACCCAGAGAGGCCTCTTACCCACTTGCACACTTCTGAGCAGTTCCAAGCAATAACCAGCACCTGGCTTCCCCTCTGACATTCATGTCCCCTTTGAGAGGCAGCTCCAAGCCATTATCTCGTCATACCAAAAGCGCTCCTCAGGTGTAGTAACCTTCCTTTTGCTGATGGAGGACTTGGGGCCTGCAAGCAAAGATAAAAGCTCATTCACATGCTCATTTGTCCTAATGAAGCATCAGCATCTGCTCATGCATGAGGTGGCTGAAAGAAGAGAGTACCAGCAAATCCATTTCTCTGTCCCTAAAGTTAACTGGTAGAATTGCTGACACTCAAACATGTTTGAATGTGGCTATATAAAATGAACAGTCATCTCCTGCATGCAGAGGCCTGCAAGGGCAAGGAGGACTCTAGACTAGTCCCAGCAGAAGCTAGAACTCCCCAGGGTCAGTTTTAGGGCTTGGCATCCCACGGGTCCCCCCAAAGTGCCAGCAAGTTGTAACCATGGTTCTGCGCTGCAGAGAACCCCAGAGCCCTTGTGGGCTGCCCCACTGCAACCCCTCCACCTCTGGCAGCTCAGGGGGGCTGCCCCAGCAAGAGGCAGGAGGTGGAGGCCAAGGGCAAGGAGCACACAACTGGACCATGCCGGAGAAGCCGAACAAACTGGAGCAGACACAGGGAGGATTACAGGTTTTTATTTGTCAAACACTCTGCCCTAGTCTAGCCCGTTCTGCAGCCTTGCCAGCACAGAGGCACCAGAGCCCGCGGCGGGGCCGGGCTCCGCTGCTCCCGGGAACCAGCAGGGTGAGGAGTGGCTGCGGGGGATGCTGGAGACGGACGGCGAGCGGCACTGCCCTGTGTGCAGCCGGGTCTGTGCCAGCGGCGCACCTGGGATCACCCCCGGTGAAGGCTCCGCTGTGCTGCAAGCGTCGGTTCACAGAGCCAGCCCCACGAACAGAGCCCCTTTCAGGAGCAGTGACCTAACTGTGGAGCCAGACCTCTCGGAGACACCTCGGGGAGCACCACGGCACCGGCTGCGAACACCCCACTCTACCACACACCGTAACACTGCCTTAGCCAGAGAACACCAACGCAACACCACCAGCTCCTTGACCTTAGCTCCTGCTGCCTCTCCTGCCTGCTCTACACCACATCCCCGGATGCAGGTTTGATCCCACCCAGAGATGGTTTTCCATCACCCACAGACCCACCGGCTGCAGGGGGAGACATAAACCCTACTGAAGAGAGGGGATCCCCTTGAAGGGCGAGCAACTACAGTCATGGGTTGCCATGTGCCAGAGCCTTCACATGGACAGATCTTCTGGAGTCACCTCTTGCTGGCTTTCCCCACCTTAATTAGAACACATTTTCCTTGCAACTGAGGCAAACCCTAAGCACGCTACCCCTGTTCATGTTCATGCCCCAGAGCCGACTGAGTTCCTGGGGGGTTTTTGATAATGGGTCCAAACTTGAGTATTACTGTGGTGACAGCCAGGCCATCACTCCCAAGGCACTTCTACCTGTGGCACCAGACACAGGTTTCTCATTCCTGGAGCACCGCTAGCCCTGAAGCATTGGAGTGTGGCTATAAATAAGCAACAAAGTCAGAGAATTAAGAAATTATTGTCTATGTGAGAGCTTTCTAGGCATTTCCTTTGGAAAAGCTGATCAGTGCTACTCGCTTCTGGTATGAAACTAGCTTATGAATGCACTTGGGCTCTGAAGCACTTCATTCCTCCCGCTTACCAGGGTGATCTGAGAGCTGGTTTTACTCAGCACAGAGTAGGGGATGACATGGGTTTAGACACACCAACAAAGAAAATTAAGGGCTCCAAGAAGCTTTCAATATTCCAAGCTCTGAGAAGAAGCTGGGAGCAGAGCAAAATGCACTTGCTATAAAGAAGGCTCAAGCAGTTTGCTAAACCAGGTGTAACTCGAGGCAATGAGTCTGCCTCATACTAGGCTTTCACAGGCCTAGTTACCCAAATTCTTTGCAGCCCGGAGCTGCACAGTGGCTTCACACTATGGACGATGGCATTTGATCCTCTGGAGATGAAGAAACTTGTCACCCAAGCTTAGTGAGGACAAGGAAAACCCACACAGCACAACGTAAGTCCCCTGCACACTCCCCTCAGGCACTTACCCAGGAGCATCACTTCCCATGTCACTGTCCCCTTCCCTCCCCAGCCAGCTCACAGATGCTCTCAAAATCCCAGCCCAACCCTTCACTAGAGCAAACACCCGCCCACAGGCATGGGGTCTGTAGGATGCAGACCCACCAAGACACTCCTGAATCCAGCTGCAGTCAGCAGCAAACACTTGTGGCAAGAGTACAAAAAAGTGGAGAAATATTGAGCCAGGTTCAGCCTTTCAGCAAGCGGCAGTTTAGGAAATGTAAAGTCTCCTGTTTCCTACAAGGAAATATCCCAGCCTAGGAAAGCTCAAGGTTTATGAGACAGAAATGATTTCAGAAGGGGCTGGAGAAGCCCTGAATCCTCTGTACCCAGGATCCAAGCTATCCTCCCACACACAGAAATGAGAAGCCAACTTGCCTGCTTTAGCCTGATTTACTGAGCACTCTGGGAGCACCACGAGTCTCTGAACACCATCCTCAGCACTAGGGCACTCCCGGACTTCCTCAACCCCTGCTGGCTCCCATTGTGTTGAGGAGACAGAGAGCAACTGCACAGACTGCTGCAAGACAGACATCGCTGTCAGCACACTGCCACCGCAGCACTCCAGCCAGAGGTGCTCCCGTCTCCAACACTGTCCCCAGGAGTCCAGCCTGGGAGTATGGGGAACCCCCCCCAGTGAATAGGTGCTATTGTCCTTCCTATTGCTTTGGACTCCATTTTAATGGGAAATGAGCTAGAGATTCAGGTAACATGACCACACATACCAGTGTTGTCCTTTGATACGTGGCTGTGAAGCACCAGCAGTCAACTTGCTCTGGAGATCATGGGGTTTATTTTCCCTCAGGGCTCAAGCTGACAAGGTGGCATATTATGTGCCAAGGAACACAAATCCCTCTGGACCTGTTAAGTGCAGCACAGAAGAGCCACAGATTCTTCTGTGCAGCACATGCCATCAGGTGACTGTGGGATGGGTGTCTATGCACCTGTGTCATGAACTAAGTGCAGTGAGTGTCAGGACATGACTCCAGTCTGCAAGGCCTGGGGTTCCAGCTTAGGCTCTGCCTTTTTGTGTTTACAGTGAGGTGTTACCAGGCATGCAGACTGTGGGTAAATTTAGAAGCATATCACCATGAGGTCTGCCAGGGAGGCAGCCCTCAAAGCAAAGGCTATCCAACAAGTCAAAGGCTCTGATGGCACAGCATGCTAAAAGACTGCTCAAGACTACTTGTTGCAGGTAACCAGACAAACCACTTTTCCCACTGCCACTCAAATGAAAATGAAATTAAACCCATGCAAATAGAGCAGACAAGGTGGTAAAACAGTATGGCTCATTGCATTGCATGATACAAACCTTCAGAAAGGACTGTAAAGACTATCTGCCAGACCAAGCCTACCAGAACACCATGAAAGCATGTCCCACATAGATCCTGCCACTGCGAACACCCGAGACAGGACACAACACCTAATGAAGTGAACTCTTGACTCCTAGCTTCTGGCCTGCAAGAACAAAAAGACAGGGCAGGATCCCAGGCCCATTCCTAAGGTTGGGCCTACAGGCTTCAAGTCCTCCCATAGAAGCAGAAACTTCACCAAGAAAACAAAACCTTGCCGAAACCAAAAAGGGAACTATCAAATTCCTTTGATAACTAACTGATCCTGCCTTTCATAAGCCTACCAAGAGCGTCAGCAGGCCTAAGCATGACCCAGTCCACACCATCTTCTTAGCGGACTAGGGAATCTATTCTATGTATGAGCTGGAGTGATGAGCTGAGAATCAGCATGCTGCTGCTGATCAGCATTCCCCACATCATGCTCTCAGCCCAGTCGAGGAAGGAGGCTGAGTGGCTGTGGCTGAATTCAGAGCCATGCAGGCACCTCCTGCCTGGTCTGGGGAGAGCAGCTGTTCCCCACTCACACTGGGCTGCCCTTCCTGCCTTTCCAATGATGTTTTCAGCTTCTTGGCCCAAAATGCCTTAGGCCTGTTCCCTCCCATGCTGTACTGTTACCTGGTATCACATGGACAGATGCAGGAAATGTGGGATTGTGGGGTTTTTTTGTTGTTGGTTTGTGGGGTTTTTTTTTAATCCAATATTCTCATTTTCAATTAAAATATATAATATATATTTAAAAAGGTTTAGAAAAGCATCTATGTAATTTTCAGCTACTTTTACATATAGATTACAATAATGTACAAGTCTTCCCCAAGACGGTTTGAAGCCATGGGGACCTGCCAATTCTTTCCCCTCAATCATATACATTATCAAACATCAAATGCATTTGTTCCTAACACAGCTCTGAAAGAGAAGTCTGTCACTGGTACCTTCTCAGAGGGAGAGATGCCTAATACACCTAATCGGGACGCGTTTAACATTGGCTTCGTATTCACTGTAGAAAGTTCCCAGATTAGTACAAAAATATTTAATCTATAGAAAATGCCCTTCTGAAAAGCAACCAGGGCTCTGTTAAGGCCACACCCAGGCTTTCCATTTTTCTGCTGTAACAAGACAAATCAGAAACAAACCCAAACTGATGTTTTGATGTCCCAGGAACAGCTATTAGCACCTGTGCTTATTTTACAGCAGCCTGGTTTATCAGGAAATTGCTGACAACAGCATAGGGACTTCTTGAAACATGCTTCTGATTCAATGGGGCTCAGATGGCACAGTGAAAAACTCTTATGCCCTCCTGTTCCACTCAGGTGGACAAGAAGAAGCCTTCTACACCACGATCACCACCCTTCCCTGCAGCATGATGCTGGATGCTCCAGAGTGGGCACACTGAAACCAAGCCCTGAAACAGCGCACCCTTTTCCCACAGGCTTTCCACCAGTGAGCTCCTTACAATTCCTCTGCGAGCCTGTGGGACAGCAAGTGCAAATCTGGTGGCTTAACCAAAACATCCAACTACTCTGCCCCCAGGGGCATGCCAAGAGAGAGCAGAGCCAACCTTCCCCAGCCCGAGGCACTGGGAGACCTGCTGCCATAGCAGAGAGAGGACAGCCACTGAGAGATTCCTCCAGCAAACCAAACTCTTCACATGGGAAAACCCGAGTGCCTGGCACAGACTCTTCTGGCCAAGGTTTTTACCAGTGCTCCTCTTCAGACATGTAGAGCCCAGAGTCTCTCCAGATGGTTCAAGACAGGGTAGGTTTGTAGGAAGAGCCGTGACACACAACAGGATTGTTATTTTTAAGCTCTTCCTGTTGCAGCCAAATGCAGGTCGTCCCTTCTTCCCAGGCAGGCAGCCCCTTCTGCCCAAGGCATGGTGTGCAGGGAAACCGAATCCAACATGCTCCATTCTTTTCTCTGCCAGGGTGGGAAGTGAAGTCAGAACCCTATCTTCAAACCTGAAGGACACTAGGAAGAAGAATAAAGAGAATGGTTAGATGTCAGTCTCAGTGGGAATCCTGGATGCACAGATAAGGAGTTAATTACTATCCACCAGCCCCTGCTGCTCAAAGGATGCCAGCTTCCATCAAGGAACAAGCACAGATCACAAGAGACCTTGACCAGTGGAGAGTCAAGTGGAGGCTACAACTGCTCAGCTTCAAGCTTTAGAGTACAATTGAGAAGGACAGACAAAACAAAAGCACTAAGGTCAAAGGTAAGCACTCCTGGAAGGCACCAGTGAAGCTCTGCAGGATAAGGAGGTTTAAAGAAGGACTTGGCTAACACCAGAGGCATTGCAAGAAAGCAGCAACAAAAATTATTCTCCCCCTTAAGCAATCATGAATATCAGCTGGCAGGGAAGAGAGGTTTTTTAGAAATCCTACACTAAAACTCTTCACCTCATCCACTTAAAGAAATCCTCCATCTAGCCACAAACTTAGAGATTGAGATGAGCAATGAGGCAGCTCCTGTGAGGGTGCTGAGGCGCTGGCACAGGGTGCCCAGAGAAGCTGTGGCTGCCCCATCCCTGGCAGTGCTCAAGGCCAGGTTGGACACAGGGGCTTGGAGCAAGCTGCTCCAGTGGAAGGGGTCCCTGCCTGTGGCAGGGGTTGGAGCTGGACGAGCTTTAAGGTCCCTTCAAACACAAATCAGGCTGGGATTTTGTGAACTTCATGCATGGAACAAAGCAAGTCCATTGTTTTTAATATCGGATAGCTCCTACAACTATGACATCAGATAGTATCAGATTTTACAATTTTAGTATCAGATAGCTCCTGTAACATAACCATGCTGTTAAGAGCTCATGTTCTACCACTTAAGCATTTGATTACAGACACATCTTCATCACTACTAGGCCCTACCCTTTGGTGAACATTCCCTCAGCTTCTCTGCTGTACATTTACAAAGGCCAGGTAATGAAGGCACCAAGGACCACAGGACAGCTTGCATGTATTTCAGAAATACTCCTGTGGCAGTGAGAGACAACAGGAATCTCATTCAGGTTGCTGCTGTACTCCATAAAGGAGTTTACTACCTGGCGAGTTAAATCCACCTACCTTTAGACAGCTTCTTCTCCTTCTAAAAGGGAATGCAGCTCTCCCAGAAGCTCTTTTACTCAAAGAGCACCGTACTTCCAGGGAGGTACCTAACTGCTGCAGAGCTGGGCACAGGAACTATCCCAGACAGGGCTGTTCCCACTATAGAGCTGTAGCATTTTACATAACTTTTTACATAACCTACCTTTTTGTGCTCCTGAAGTTAGCTTGGTACCCAGGTATGGTTGGAGGCCTGTGAGGTGCTGGGATAGCTGGGAGTAGACAGAATGGGTTCAAAATTAAAGTCCAATCCTTCTCCATCCATAAGTTCACTGTTGATGATGTAATCCATATCGCATTCAAGGTCTTCCATGTACATGTCAATGTCCAGGTCAATGGGCAGCTTCTCCTGGTTCAATCCCAAGGGAGCAGGGCTGGCAGAAGAAAGAAGCAGCGGACTGCCCAGCTGGACTGACTGGGAAGTTGTTGCAGAAAGTGAAGCCTTCAAACTGGTGATGCTGGCAGTATTCTGAGGAGATGTTACTATAGGAAGTGTTGATGGCAAAACACTGGCACTGACTGGTTCTGCCTGCTGCTCTGTAGGCTTTCCTCGTGGATTGCCTGAGCTCATCTTACTCTGGGCAGCTTGTCCACCTAGAAGCAGAAGAGTTCGGCTGTTCATCCTGTTACCAGTCTGCGGGAGAACTGGATCCACCTGAGTCATCATAACATCCCTTGGAGGTGGAGAGCTGGATGTCAGAAGAGCTTCCAAGCTCTGAGGGGCAGAGAAATGGCTGACAGAACTTTGTAGTGAGATATCAACAGGGTTAAACAGGGAATTGCCAAAAGTAGTGGTCTGACCAGATGCATTCCGCAAGGAAAAGCTGGAATCTCTCTGGATCTGACCGCTTGAGGCAGGTTGCTGGGTAGATAACACAGATGAGCTGGGAGACATCAAATTTAACCCATCAATGAGCTCAAGCTCCTCAGTCACAGTAGGTGGAACATTGCTGGATGCACTAGAGTACACCAGAGAAGGAAGTAGTTCTTCATCATGGAGGTCATCCTGCTCTGTCAGGATAGGAGAAAGCCTGGCACTAACGGTGCTTGCATTGGAACTGGTTCGAGGCCGGAATGTGTTCCACATGTCAGAGTCCTCATTGCTTCTTGAGGATGGGCTCCCAGGCCACTTAGGGAACTGGGAACCAGGACTGTCAGCAGTAGATTCTGGAGCAGACTGGAGAGGAGGCTTCTTTCTAGATGCTTTACCTCTGACTTTCGCAAGTTTGCTGCTGTTGTCCATGGAGGCAGCTCTTCTTCTTGGTGCTTTGCCGCTTTTACCACCCTCAGGGTTAAGCATCCACCAAGAACTCTTCCCTGTGGCTTCATTATGGACTTTAATAAACTTGCTGTGCAGGGACAGGTTATGTCTAATAGAGTTCTGAAAAAAACACAGAAAACCAGAAACACAAAAGCAGGATATGAGGAACTTTCCCACTGAGACACTGCACGAGCATAAACATATTCAGACAGTTCATAGAGAACAGACTTATAACAAAGACCTACCCATTAAAAACTGCTATTCCTCCTTGAATATGCTTGACAGCACTAGCACGCAGTGCCCCATCTCACTGCAGCAACAAGGGTGAAACTACCACAACTAGCAAAATTCTGACAAAAGAACTTTTCAAGACCATGCAGAATGTGCAAAAATTAGGCATACCCCAGAGCAAGTAAATCCCTTCCCAAATACAGGTTGCAGCTTCGACATAAGCCTCATTGGAGCTAACGCTGCTCCCACCTTGCTGCCAACCCCACTACTGAGCATAACCATGGCTGGACATTTTAAGCACAGCCTGGCAGCACATAAAATAGAGTGGGTGAAGAGAAAAAGCAAACCACTTCTAATTCCATACACCCAGAACTATCTTCATCCCAGAGCCAGAGAAACACGGGAAACTTTGTGGAACAAGAATCCTAGGAATCCTGGAGCCTGCCAGCCTCCCTGGGCACAGAGGCAGCACACCTTCCTCTGCCTGTGTTTCTCATAGGGCAAGATGTTTGGTAGACACAGCACATGCCAGTTTGAGTCTCTCCCACCTTTTCATTTGGCAAGATATATTCCTTGCCCCTCCTAACTCCCTTCTTTTGGCTTTGCTGGAACCTGCAAGCTGATGTATCTGTACACCATCATCAAACTGAATTTCCATCCTGCAACTGCTAAAACCCGTGGTACTTTAGATTGAGCAAGCAGTAACTCCGTTTGAACAGATCCTCCATGAACTCCCCTTGAGGCCTGTGCCACGCATGTGTTCGATACTCGCATTTAATTTGTTTAGATGGTCAAACACATCTTTGAAAGATGCTACGCTGGTAGCATAGCAGTGGTCCAAATGCAAGATCTTTCTCACACAAACTGAAAGGCAAATAGCAGCCTTCAGCCTTCACGCATTCCCTCTTAATTGTGAAGCAAGTTAACTGTGCTTTTACCACCCTTTCCCACCACCTCTCAACAGTTCTTTCCTGCCTGATGCTTTCCCTCTCCCCACCCTTTTCCTCTCAGACAAGTCCTCCCCATGCTAATTTTGGCCACCTCACCAAAGTACTATCCTAGAACAAAGGAGATGTAGATAAACAATACAGGGAAAGCGGAAAGTCTGCATGGAGAGGGAAGAAGGTGTGAGAATCACTGTGGTAGCTTTGGCTGTTGGGAACCTGCAGCAGACTGACTGCTTGTTGCAATAGGTATCAAAGCATACATGTGCTCTGACTTGGATAGCGCCCCAAGGGTTACTGCAGAGCCAGGGCCTGATGGAACATGTGTTAGTCAATGCTCTTACACAGCTTTATGATTTGAGTTGTTCACAGTCACAGCTATAAAACACTCCTGCTGGCATCTTCTCCAAATAAAGCTTTCTTTCCCTTCAAGTGTTGAAGAAAGTAATACACACTGGTACTGTGTCTCCCAGAAGTCTGTTCATTTCCTTTCCAAAGAATCCCCCCCCCCTTTCCCAGCTTGGTGTGTATTACTGTGAAGGCATACTCCTGCAGCAACAGGAACCACAAGGCTGGCACCAATTCTTCATTTACTCTTCTGAAAGTAACCTGTGAACCCATGATGGCACCCAGTCCTGGCAGGGATGACCTGGTGGCTTGTACACACAGTGTGCATTTGCAGTCTCATAACCAGCCATTGTTCAGCTCAATTTACTAAAATGGAACTTTAAACCAGTAGGTCCAGGACTTCAAAACCTCACAAATATTCTGTTGTCTTCTCACGCATGGCTACAGGCAGGTTTTAATTCCTGTGTCAGCAAAGGCACACTGGCACTTCAGAGACCTCATGAAAAACAGCTGCACTTTGGGTATCAGAAGGGACAATGTTAATAAGCCGTTTTCTAGAATTTTTAGCTGAAAAGCAGCTTGAAGAAAGACATCTTGGAGTAAGCGTAAGATTCACAAGAACACAGATATGTGAAGCCTAATGCCTTCATGAAACAGTCTCAAAGTGTTTTCGCATGTTACTGCTGAACTGACATAACAGCTAATAGCTGCAGGAACAGGTAATTGCTGTAGCAGTCCTTCCTCATCTTCAAACTCTTTTCCTTTAATAAATAAGCATCTGTGACCCTACGGCTTGCTCAGAGAGCTAACCCAACTGCAAAGCAGCCTTATCCTCCCTTAAAAATCACAGAACTCCAGGTCAAACCTGACAGAGAGGGAAATGACAGCTGAGTCACCCAGGCAACCCTGACGTGTTTCCTTGCTCCGTGTTGAGCAACTCAAACCAGAAACATACAGATGACATTAACTTTTTAGATGCTCAGCTTCAGCAGTGCGGGATCCCCACTGGTCTGAGCACCTGCCATCTGCACAAGATCTTGGCTCTGCAACATCTCTGACCATAAGGAAACATGACCTGAAGGAAGAGGCAGAGGCAGGAATCCTCCAAATTCTTAGGGACCTCTTCAACAAATAGTTGGGGATGGTTACTGCTGTTTATTCACGCATCTTATACAGGCTCTTGTGACTGTATGTTAAGTAATGCAGTGGAAAGCTGTATGTGCAACCCATGGGAGAACAGAAGTTACTCCTGGAGCCATCCTCAGACAAAACCATCTGAAATCCGTGACAGTACGGAAAAAAACCCAGCAGTGTGGCTGAAGACATCTCTTGTCTTGGACAAGACATCTTGGAGGGAGCCTGTTCAAACCAGGCCTCAGCCACTGGGGTACAAGCTGGGACACACAGCCCAACCACAGGAGCATGATGAGCAGCAGACATCCACTGTTTGCCACATCTCAGTTACCACAACATAGAATAAGTATTTTGATAAAATCTCCCAGCCCTATTTAAAGGGCAGGAGCACTCCTCACCAATGGACCAGGCCTGCCCCACACCAGCATCAAGCAGACACTGCCCAGCAACAAACAGTGCTTCAGTCTCCGGATGGGAAATGAGCCCCAGAAGCTCGCAGCACAACCAAGCAATTATCCCAGTGGATCAGCCTTCTGGACAGCTGCCATGAACACCCACATAGCATGGAAAAACGCATAGGGAAGAGCACATGCCAGTGAAAGCCTTTCCAGGGGAGTATATGGCTATGTAGGTACGGCTGAGGTAATCTACCACAAACCCAAAGTTTTACTCAGAGCAGGTCAGAACATTCAGGATGGTTTGTTCAGACTTGCAGGTTCCTCACGCTAAAAAAACAAGTTTAAACTCACCTCCTGCAATGTACTTTCTCCTCAGCACAGATGCACCCCACCTGAAGCACTGCATGCAGCTCCTTCTCCCCCACTACAAGAGGGGAGCCTTCTCCAGTCTGCCCGAGCCAAACTCTCTCAGCCTGGCTCCAGAACAGAGCTGCTCCAGCCCTTACAGCATCTTCATGGCCTCTTCTGGACTTGCCTGAGCAGGTCCATGTTTTCCTTTCTGTAATGTTTCAGTGGGAGCCCAGAAGAAGAAAATCCTAGCTCTTTAAAAAAAACAAAGGCCAGGGCAATTTTCAAGTTTACCAGGACAGGCAGGCATAGACCACAAAAGCTGAACAGCTTTTATTGTATATCAAAAGCTGACAGAGCAGAAAAAACTTGCTGGAACACATAACACCAGCAGCTCAGGAGCAGCCTTTTCCAAGGACTGCCTGAAAAGTTAAGCCATGCTGCAAGGAACAACCTTGCAGCAAAGCAGCTTTCCAGAACAAACTGCCAGGGAGCAGGAAAACATAGCAGAAAAATCTCTAGGTAATTTGACTGGCACTGCAGGGGGCAAATGGCCTTTGCCAAAAGACAGGCTCCCCCCTGCTTCTGAGGGGAACAACTACACTGGGTAAGGCTTCAAGTGAAGAAGTTAATCTCACACTTCCATACTCACTCAGACCACTGCACCTTGTCTGGGAGAAGCAGCTGTTATTGTCACTTTAACAAGGGTTTAGTACATATTCCTTCCCTGCAATGGTGGGCTCTCACCACAGCTGACCACTCATCAGTATGTCTTACCCCACCTGAAAAACAGGACACCTGGTGACCCCACACTCAGACCATCATCTTCCTCCTGCACACTGCCTCATTGTCCAGACCCAGCACTCCACCATGCTCCTGTCGCTGCCAACACCCGGCCATACCCAGCTGCCTTCCTCCCTCCTCACCACTGCTTACTGTGGCCATACGATTTAAGGATTAGTGGGATTAAAAGGGAAGATTCTGTTAAAACAAAGACTGATGGACAAAACCTACCCAGCTCCTCAGGTTTCCCTGCTAGACTCTTCACTGCAGCCTCTGAATGACTGTCCTTCAGCTTCTCTTATTGTCTCTCCTACTTTAACGAAACCCAGCTAGGCTGTCAGCAGCTGGGAGAGAACATCCTGCTGCCACAAGCACACATCACTACCACCACATGAATGCATCTGGGAGCATACAAGGTAGTGGCAAGAGTCCAGCAGTTTCCACCCAGCCCCAGCTACTCTGGATTCAAAGAGCCAGATCCTCCCTCCCCTTTCAGGGCAGCAACTTCCAGAAACCAAAATAATCCCAATTTAGAAGGAAGTGGCACCTACACCATCACTACAGATTAACTGGTCTTAATCTGTACCAACCTTTTGCTTTATAGCATCAAGTCAGTTATGCCTCTGTGAACAAAGACTGGGAAATACTTTGAATGTCTTCTCAAACCATCACCTGGATATTACCATTACTACAAGTCAAGAGCAACCCTGCATGAAGTGTTCCCACCAGATGTTTCCTCCACGTAAAGGGTTTCTTTCTGGAATAAGCAAGCTCTCCCAGGAGTGATTTGGGCCTTCACGTGCCCATGTTCAGAAGCTACAATTCTGAGACAAAAAAATCTTCAAAGACACGGGGACGCTGCAGCACAGTCCAGGTGGATAAAAGCAAACAGATGATGTGACTGCTTTAGGAACCAACCATTGCTTTTTTTGTAGGTCTGACTACAGAAATCAAAACTAAACCCCACAGAAGCCAGGGGAGCAGTAGTCAACGTGTCAGTGAACAGATGAACAATAAACTCTTCCTCTACCAAAACAAGGGTTCACATGATTTTGTATACACTACTTCAATTTATTAGCAAAACATAATGTGGCTAAACCTACCAGCTACTGCAGGCAGCAAGAGTCCAGAAGATGAACAGGCTTGCTTTTGTCTACTGGCCAGATGGAGGAGCTTCAGAGGGCCACAGGACAAGCAGCTGCTCCAACCGAAGGGAGCTCTGTGCCTGCTCTGACAAAAAGTCAAGACACCCTCAGCTCTGGGAGAAGCTGGGAACCACAGCACTGGAAGCTGTGAAGTCACTGTCATCATAAACGGAACTGCAGGGCACGTGCAAGGTCCTGAAAGCCCTCAGCCAGGTCTCCTGGTCCATGTGGTTAATATCAACTGCAGGCAATACACATACAATACAAGCATGGAATGGAAGGGTTGAAAGTAAAACGCTGCCTACTGTAACAACGAGGAAGAGCAAGCTGAGTTTCCAGGTGGATGACACATTCTGTTTCAGACAAGCAGAATGCTTGTCAATTTTTAAATCATAATACAACTACCCAAGCTGTACACATACAGTATATGTACTTACAGGTACACACTTGAATCGAGGCGAAGTACCAGAAGTACCAGAGGAGTGACTTCAGCCTCCTGCAACTAATCGAAGGAACCTTAAAGATCATCTGGTTCCAACCCCCCTGCCTCAGGCAACACTGCAGCATCATTTGTTCTTTCCTTTCCAATGCAAGCATAGGAAATGCCCAATTTCTGCTCCAGTGAAGCATCTTTGGAGGGTGAAAATGATGGCTTTAAAGTTCATTCTGTTCCTACAAAGGGAAAGATAACAGCTTTGAGAGAACACACAGGCTGTCTCACTGAGGAAGAAAAGTCCTTAACAGCTCTTCATTGTGTCCAACTTGCTCATACCCACAGAATGGTTTGGGTGAGAAAGGACCTCCAAAGCTCATCCAGTCCAATCCCTACATGTTCAACCAGACCAGGCTGATCAGAATCACATCCAGCCTGGCCTGCAATGTCTCCAGGGATGGGGCAGCCACCACCTCTCTGGGCACCCTGTGCCAGGATTTTACCACCCTCACTGTACAAAGTTTCTTCCTCACATCCAGCCTCAATCTCCCTCTTTCAGTCTAAACCCATCACCCCTCGTCCTGCTGCAACAGCCCCTGCTGAAAAGTCACTTCCCATCCTTCTTATAGGTCCCTTTTAAGAACTGAAAGGCTGCAATAAGGTCTCCCCAGAGTCTTCTTCAGCTAACAACTTCAATTCTCTCAGCCTTTGGTTACAGAAGAGGTGCTTCAGTCCCTGATGATTTTTGTGTTTCTTCTCTGGACCCTCTCATGGATGCAAGAAATGGAGCCATCAGGCTGCTTCAGAGGAGTTTTTGAGCTGCTGCTTTATTCAAAACCCTCAACACCTTCCGCTCCAAGTAATCACAAAGCCAGAAGGAATTATCCTCTTATGCACAGAGCAGCTTGCAGAGAACCAAGGGGAGGATTACAAAGCAGCACCACACACACCTCTGCGAGGGCATTTCTGCCTTTCAGGCTGGTTAATTCTTAACTTCAGCCACACACCAGCAAATCTGTCCTTTACAAAGTGCTCGGAGGAGCTCAAGAACAGCAAACACCACCTTCCTCGAAACACAGAGACTTCCGGAATCCACAGGGGTTACACCCTGGCAGTCTGCAACAGCTATATTTCCCCCTATTGTACAGCGGAGGAGGACAGCTGGAAAGTACTTGTGAAGCAACAATGACTTGATGGGATTTATATTAACTGAAGTAGATTTAAAAAGTTTTTAAAGGCACATTTCTTTTAAATTCCCATTTAAAACTCCCTATTAGAACTATACTACATACAGATAGGATGCATTATCAGTACCACTCTGCCCAAACAACAGAAATACCAGAACTAGGCGCTGTAATCTTCACAGGCATCCAAATGCTGCATCAGCATTTAGCTGCAGCTCCACATCAATTTCCTTTATCCCAACTCATTCAGTTCAAAACGGAGGAATCAATAAAGCAAAAACAGTTCCAGAAGATTTCCTTTTACTTGACAGATTATTAAAAGTAAATAGAAAAGCAAGCAGAGCTCCACAGCTTTAAAAATAACCAGCAGAGTGACAACAAAGCACCAGGCAGGTCCACTCCTCAGCTCAAGAAACACGTGTATTCAGTTTGTCTTAAATATAAAACACACACCTACATAAATGTAATAAAATTTAATTTATTAAAATGGAATTTAAGTAACTCTAATAATTTACTCGAAGTCCACAAAATCAAACTGAACTGGTTTGATTGATTCCACATCTTTAAAACTGTGTCTAACCTGCCTCCATCCAATGCACCTTGATGCAAATAGACTAAAGTCAGTAAAACAAACAAAACCTCTTCCAAATCTATAGAGCTGTTTGTTAACATCGTTAACATAACAAAACAAGAGTAGAATTCAGAGCTCTGCACTCACACGTGATGGGGCACGCATGCTGCCAAGCCCTGCCAACAGGACTGGAGAGAACAGGGAAGAAAAGGCAGCTTCTTACTGAGCATGCAAGGTTAACCACACTCCCCCACCCCCCAAACTCTGATAGTATTTGCTAAAAATGAAACCAAGTTTTTATAAGCATTTTTCCCGGCACTGTAACAGCTTTAGCTGCATTTCTACCATGGATGTCTGTTTGCTGGTTCAAATCAAGGGTCTGAAACCGCACTAATCAAAAGGCAGGCTGACTGCCACCGCCACTGCTGGCATTCTGCCCTCCCTCATCTTTCCTGGGAAGAGGTTTCTGTTCTCTTCCTCTCCTAAAGCCACGCTGCATTAGTCCATTCCCAGGATGAAAACCTACAACTGAATTTCCCACTGAACAGTCACCACAGTACAGCTCCAACAACAGTCTCTGAGCAGGGCCCTCACACATGCACAAGTTCTCATTCCTGCCTTTCTGCAGTTTAAGTCCAACCGCACTTCCCAAAACAGATATACAGTTAAACCACAGAGTAAATAGGAAGACTGATAGTCCTGTTGCACATAAATGAATACAGCAAAAGAACAGCCACACTTAATACAGCCAGAAGTCTACCTTTGCCAGTAGGTAGCATCCAGTCCAGCTGGAAACTCTGCTATAGCCCACCTTCCCCACAATATCAATGGATACATTTCAGAAGCCACACTGAACTTTAGTCTCAGGCACTACTGCCAAAAAGGTACAGACATATTACTGAAAAGAAAATGTACCAGCTCCATAAGCTGCCTGCCAAAGTAATGACTCCACAGTGGCAGCAGGACAAGGACAGCACACCTAGCCTGAGCAAGCAAGAACTACCTTCCAGTGAGAGCACCAAATCTTCTGAAGAGAAAGAATATGCACCCAAGCACTGCCCCAAATCAGAACTTAATTAGGAGGATTCAACCTGCACAAAGGAGAGAAAAAAAAGTTTCAGTCAAACAACATGCGCTCTCTGGGACATGTCAGTGAGCAAGATATATGGAAAAGATGAAGTCTTTCTATCTACCTGTGCCAGCCTAGACTGTGACATCTGTGTCCCTCACAGCATTCCTACCTTCTCCTTGGGCAAACATTCATACTCATGCAACCACATGGGGTCTCACTTGAGAACTGAGCCAGCTGAAAACTCACCTGCCAGAAAAAGCAGAATTCACTCTTGTGCTGACTTACTGCTCAGTCACACAGGCAGAGGAGCATGTGGCTGGAGTCATGGAAGCCCTAAACCACACTGGCTCAAGCTGTGAAGCTAACCAAAACTGCAGACGAAGAGGTACACTGCGACCAAGAGCCAAACAAGCACAACTCCAGCCTGTAGCAAGAGCAGGAGAACAGAGTCTTTAGGCTACAGTCACCACAGCATCCACTGTGACAGATCAGGACAGCCAGAGAGACTATTTGGCAAGAAAACTCTCAGATCTCCCTTCCTCTTCACTGGAGTCTGCTTGACTAAAGAGATGGGAACAACCAGCTGCTGCCTACAGAAGACAGACACTGAGAACAGCTCTTTTAATAGAGCTTCCCACACGCCTGCTTCCAGAGCAAGAGAAGAATACAAGGCTGAGACCCTAGAGCTGGACATTGCTTTCACTTTTCTGAACTCGAGCCGAGATGGCCGGTCCCTGCGTGGCCGCAATGCTGACACTGCTCTGGGACACAGCAACCTTTTTAAACGGAGTCTCCTGAAAGCCAAGAATGCCTGTTATGAAACAGTTATTTATATTGAGCTTCAGCACAGTCATGTGACAAAGCACCACGGCCTTGCGTTTACAAACCCTTCAACTGATGCTTCGCCTCGCACAGCAGTTACCACGGCCCTTTTAACTGCCCCTGGCTCCTTCCTGGAGAACCTCCCAAACTCGAAGCACACACAAAGCGGTCTCACAGGGTCGTGCCGTAACCACCCACACAGAGACGTCCGCTCCTCCCTGCTCCAACTGCACAGAGCCTGAGCTCGGGTTGGGTCTGGAAAGCCCCGTCCCCGCGCTCCCGGGCGGGCAAACCCGCACCAGCCAAGCGGCTCCAGCAGAGCACAACACCCGGCCCCCCGCTGGCACCGCCGCCGAGCCCCAGCAGGGACGAGTGGCGACAGGTGAGCGCAGGGAAGGGGCCGGGGCGAGGCCAGAGAGCAGGAAAGCGCCTCGGGCAGCCGCTCCTCGACACGTCGCCCCGGCCCGCCGCGGGATCCCCGCCGAAAGCCGGGCCCATCCCTCCCGCCCCGTCGCGCACCTTCCAGCCGGCGGAGCTGTTGCTGTCGCCCTTGTCCTTGAAGTAGGGGACGGAGCGGACCATCCACTCGTAGATCTGCGCCAGCGTGAGCCGCTTCTCGGGGGCGCTCTCGATGGCCTGGCTGATGAGCTCGGCGTAGGACTGGTTGCCCCAGGCGTTGCGCCGGGAGCCGCCCTTCCGCGCCGCCGCCCGCGCCCCCTCGGCCCGCCCGGGCCCCGCCGCCGCGCAGCCCGCGCTCTCCTCCGCCGCGCCCGCCGGGCCGCCCGTCTCCGCCGGCAGCTCAGGCCGCGGCAGGGGCCAGGTGCAGGAGCGCGGCCGGCTCTGCGGCTCGAAGTCGGGGTCGATGTCGGGCGCCGCCGAGGCGCCGCCCGCCTCCGCCATGAGTCCTCCCTCCCTGCACCTCAGCGCCGTCGGCTCTGGGGCTGAGCGGCCCCGCAGCCGCGCATCGGCCTTGCCCGTGCCCGCACCGCTTTGTGAGCGGTGGGCCCGGCCGCGCCGCTCTGTTTACCAGCGGGCAGCGCCGCTCATTGCGCCTGCGCGCGAAGGGCACGCCGGAAGCCGTAGTGCCGGCGAGGTGGCGGTACGCGGAGCTGCACCGCCAGAGGACTACAGAACCCAGCGTGCACCGCGCCGGGGGCGGGGTTAGACCACGGAGGGTGTGCGTGGCAGGCGGCGCGCGCCCGGCCGGCCTCGGTTCTGTGCCCGCAGCCCTCGGGGGCTCCGCCCCGGTGGGGAGCCCGGCTCCGGGACACGCCTCAGCGCGAGCCGTGACGGGCCCGAGCCCCTCAGTCCGCAGCCACGTTCCCGGACCCCGTCTTTCTGCACCCCGTACAGCGCCCGGGGCTGGCCCCGCCCGGAGCCCTGTATGGCGCAGTTCCTAAGTACGTGCTGCGGTTCTGCACCCCAGTCGCCAGCCCAGGCTCCCGACGCGGCCCAGGGCTCAGCACCGTCCCGCGGCGGCTGCGCTGGAGCGCACTGGGCAGCGCCGACAGCGAGCCCGCCGTGTCCTGCCCCGCGCCCTGAATACCCATTCCGCTTATGCTGGCGGTGGCGCTGACGGCCGGGGCGCGGCGGCAGCTGTGGGGCCCCGAACCCTGGATACCCGCTGAGTTATTCAGTCAGCAGGCGGGCGGCGGCGCGCCGTGCGCAGGCAGGGCGGGCTGCGGCAGCGGGCGGGCCGGGTGCGGCGGCGGCGGCACCACCACCATGTCGGAGGCGGCGGTGGCGGACACCCGGCGTCTGAACGCCAAGCCGCAGGACCTCACGGACGCGTACGGGCCGCCCAGCAACTTCCTCGAGATCGACATCTTCAACCCGCAGACCGTGGGCATGGGCCGCGCCAGATACACGAGCTACGAGCTGCGGATGCGGGTGCGGCCCTCGCGGGGCCTGCGGGCCCGAGGCGGGTCGTGGGGACCCGGGCGGGACTGCGCTGCCAGCGGCCGCGAGTACGGCCCGGGAGGGGCGGCCGCAGTCGTTGCGCGGCGCCGGATCGGGGAGGTACCGCTGCTCGGGTCGAGCGCGGCCTGCGCGGGGGTGCGCGGGGACCCGGCCCGGGGGCTCGGGGTGTCCGGTCAGGGTGTGGGGAGCTGCGCCGCGGGCCCAGCGGTGGCGGGCTGGGCTGGCAGCGTGCCTGCGGCTCAAGGCGGGCCGGGGCTCAAGGTCAGCACCGGAGCTGTGCGGGTTTGCAGGGGCCCTTCGGCACGCAGCGAGCGCTGGTATGCACAGGGACAGGGAGGGTGCTGCCTCAGCAGGCTCCTGCCGCTGTTCCCTCGAGAGTCCATGGCCTGGCACTTGGGCACTGCTGCGTGGTTGCTGAGCAAGGCGTGACTGCATGCAGCTGGGTTATCTCGAGCAGGGCAGGAGTGCTGTCTAAGCAGTATCTCGGGACCTGATCACAGTGCAGTCCATCTGCCCCTCCTGGGTCATAAAATGCCAGACTGGTTTGGGTTGAAGGGACCTTAAAGCTCCTCCAGCTCCAACCCCTGCCACGGGCAGGGACCCCTTCCACTGGAGCAGCTTGCTCCAAGCCCCTGTGTCCAACCTGGCCTTGAGCACTGCCAGGGATGGGGCAGCCACAGCTTCTCTGGGCACCCTGTGCCAGCGCCTCAGCACCCTCACAGGGAAGAGCTTCTGCCTAAGAGCTCAGCTCAGTCTCCCCTCGGGCAGGTTCAAGCCATTCCCCTTGGCCTGTCCCTACATCCCTTGTCCCAAGCCCCTCTCCAGGTTTCCTGCAGCCCCTTTAGGCACTGGAGCTGCTCTAAGGTCTCCCCTTCAGGAGCCTTCTCTTCTCCAGGCTGCCCCAGCCCAGCTCTCTCAGCCTGGCTCCAGAGCAGAGCTGCTCCAGCCCTCACAGCATCTCCATGGCCTCCTCTGGCCTCGCTCCAACAGCTCCACATCCCTCTTGTGCTGCTGCCCCACAGCTGGATCGGGGCTGCAGGGGGCGTCTCCCCAGAGCACAGCAGAGGGGCAGGATCCCCTCCCCGAGCTGCTGCTCACGCTCTGGGGATGCTGCCCAGAACATGGGGTTTTCTGGGCTCAAGCACACACTGAAGCCAGGTCATGGGGAGTTTCTCCTCACCCAATACCCCAAGTCTTTCTCCCCATGCTGCTGCATCCAGTCCCCCCCAGCCTGTGTTTGTACTGGGCATTGCCCTGACAGAGGGGCAGGACCTTGTCCTTGGCTTTGTTGAACTCCATGAGGTTCACATGGTCCCACCTCTGCAGCCTGTCCAGGTCCCTCTGAATCCCATCCCTTCACTCCTGTGCGTGGACCACACCACACAGCTCGGTGTTGTTGGCAAACTTGCTGAGGGTGCTTGATCCCACTGTCCGTGTCGCCAAGTCAGCTTGATCCTTTTACAGAGAGCCCGTGATCCAGCCATGTGCAGAGAGGCCGAGCACTTCTTGCAGGGTTCTCTTTCCTGGGCCTTCACCAGGCTGAACTGGTGACCTCTTCACAGCTTTGCATCTGATAGCACCAAGAAGTAAAATTGAGCTTCCCCTGAAACAGACTCCCTTTAGTGTGTGTTACAGTACAGTGCTGGTGATTTAACAGCCAAGCCCCTGGTGCCTTTCAGAATTGGGTTTTTGCCTTTTCCTGTTATGACACTTGGTTTCCATCAGGCAGCCAAAGGGTGCCTGGCAGGGGGCAAGGAGAACCTCGTAGTCCCCCAAAATTAGCTCTTGCAGAGACACTTTGGAAAGCAGTTTATTTCACAGACCTCCTAAGAACGGAGTTAAACACATTGCAGCAGTACCTGTGTTCATCTGGTACTGCTTATCAGAAGGGCTGGCTGCCTCTGTTCCTTGGACGTGCTCGGCTGCACTGACGGGGTAAAGGTGAAGTTGCTGTAGCCGTCAGTCTCAGACAGTGATGGGAGAGGAGGGTGGGAATTGCTGCACGTTCTTCCAGTGACAGGAGCCAGAGATGAAAAGGCTGCTCTCTTGTTAGGGCAGGTGATGTGTTCCTAGGGAGGGTTGCAGCGTGAGATCCGACCTTAAGCAGTTGCTGGGACAAGATTTCCTTCCTTAGCTCTTCCCTGTGAGTGCCGGTGTTGGCTCTAAGCTTCTGCTCTGCAGGCTGGTGTGAAGCTCTCATAGATGACTCCAAAAAGGAGTGAACTCGGGGGTAAAGAAAGAAATCGGCCTTCTCTGATTGTGAGCCCTGGTTCCAGTGTGCCCCAGAGGGGGTGTGCTCCTGAAATAGTCACTTGAGGGGAGGGGGTGGTTCCAAGCAGCCTGGCAAGGACTTGCTTGATTCTGAAGCATTTCAGTGCTTATGTCCTAAATAAAGCAGCTGGGTGTGCTCATGATGCCTCTTTCTCAGGGGGCTTGGTTTTCTAAGCAGAGCTTCAGGTTTCAGTTACGTGTTGAAATCCTGTCTGGCTTCCCAAGCAACCTGCACATGAACTGCTTCTCTTTGTTACAGACAAACCTCCCGATTTTCAAACTGAAAGAGTCGTGCGTGAGGAGACGGTACAGTGACTTCGAATGGCTGAAGAATGAGCTGGAACGAGACAGTAAGGTGAGGCCTGGCTGAGAGCTGCCTATTCCTGCAGCCAGGACATACGGGAACAGTTGTAGCAATAACCTTGACCTGCCCAGAAGAGAGGCTGTGGTGGTGGGCAGCTCTTGGGGTTTAATCTCTAGCCACATCATGGGGCTGGAGGTGAGCGTCACGGGCAAACCGCTCGTGGATGGCTGTTGTGCTGACGGGCTGGGTCTGTGCTCTCAGATTGTAGTGCCACCACTGCCTGGAAAAGCTTTGAAACGACAGCTTCCCTTCCGGGGAGACGAAGGCATCTTTGAGGAGTCCTTCATTGAGGAGCGGAGACAGGGACTAGAACAGTTTATTAACAAGTAAGCTCCATGTCCTGCATTGCTGTGTGCTGCCTTTCGAGCCACAAGGGCCATGGGTTGGCTGGGAGGGAGCCTGCCCTCTGCCGTGTCTGCAGCTGGGTAATGAAAGCACAGTGGGTTCTGCTCAGTGTTCTCCTCTGAGAGTGACATGGATACTACAGGACAGCTGTGCTGTGGAGACCCACTGACGGGGGGCCTGGATTCGGGATGGGGGGGGGGGGGAGCACACTGTGCTCAAGCACTTCTCTGTGGCCCTGCTGATGGTGACCAGGGCCTGAGCCTGGGTGCCTCCAGCTGGCGGCTCTGGGAGGAGCGCAGGGGGGGTCCTGCTGGTGGCTCTGCTGACCCCCACATCTCACTCTCTTCCAGAATTGCTGGACACCCCCTGGCACAGAACGAGCGCTGCTTACACATGTTCCTGCAAGAGGAGACTATTGATAGGAACTATGTCCCAGGGAAAGTGCGCCAGTAGGAGCACCTGGCAGCGTCTTCCTCCATTCCACCCTCCTTCCTGCAAAAATGACATTTATTTTTACACTAAATCTGTCTTCTCTGAACCAGCTTTTCCTCTCTTGAACCTCCCAGTTTGTTCAGTATTTTCCTCTTTTATAACTGGCAGCAGCTTGTTCTACTGGGCTGTGGTCTTGGCCTAAAGTATGAAGACTTATGCAAGTGAGTGTGTTGTCCTGTGCCGAGGGGCAGGTGTGAATAGGTGTGGAGCAGGAACTTGCTTATGGCGTTATGGTGTAGGAGCTGCCTCTGTCCCTGTACAGGAAGGTATGAGATGAGATTCACTCCCCCCTGTCTGTGCAGGCCCCAAGCATCTCTGCAGGAGACTGAAGAATAGCAGTTGTCATGTTGGTCAAGGATCACATCAGGTGTTAAGAGTTTTATGAACTATCCAGAACAGCAAGTAGGTGCCTGGGTGTCTTGGTCTCTCGTCCACCCCATTCACCCTGCATGAAACCCCCATTCTTCACTGTCTGGAAGTGCTGAGACTGTCCTGGGCAAGCACCTCCCCTAATCCTGCTCTCAGCCTCCTGCATTACGGACCCGTGAGCTGTATCTGTGTTAATCTCCCTCCTTCCTAGTGTACTGCTGGCAGCTCAAGGGGTTTCCCTGGTGTGTGCTCTCTGTAGGCATTTTGGTGTGTGGAAGCTGGGGTAGCCTGGGCTGCAGCAGTGTGTGCCGGGGTGTTCTATTGCACGGGGTGACCCTACCCCGTGCCCCGGCAGCAGAGGGGAGCAGACAGGTCTGGCTGAGGGGCTGATGGGGCTGTTGTGTGGTGGCTGCTGCGGGAGGAGCCCAGCGGTGGGACCTGGGCTGAGGTCCCTTTCACCTCCGGAAAGGGACTGGCAGAAAATGGCCAGTGAGTCCTGGATCAGCATTTGATTGTGCAGCAGGAGGAGTGAGGCTTTGCGTGTGTTCTCCCTTGTTCTGCAGGGAGCTAGGCAGTTGTTGCATGGAAGTGAGGGCACAGGACTGGTCAGGGGAGTGTTCAGAGCTTGAGGGGAACCACGAGGCTGTGACTTGCTGGAGCAGAACCGTCTTTTGAAGGCTCCTCCAGCTGTGAGGAGTGGGGTTGGGCCTCAGTTTGGGGGCTGCCCAGGTCAAGGCTGGGTGGTCTGTAAGTGCTTGGTCACTTTGTGGTGGCACAGTTGAGCCCTTCTCTGAGCACACGCCTGCAGTGACTGCTCTCCATCCCTGCCATGCAACCCCCGAGGCCTCCTGCACTTCTGGGTTTTCAGTGAGGCTCTGGCGCTGGTGTTTGGCGGTGGCTCTCAGGGAGGAGCAGAAGTAGCTGATACCAGGAGGGAGCTGCCCCGAGGGCCCGGGAAGGGCAGTGGGTGCCAGTGGAGGCGGCCGCCCGTGCCTAAATCACGGCTCAGCTCCGGCCCCCTCCTCGTGCCCTCCGTGTCCTGCTCGCCCAGCTGTCTCCATCCCGTCCAGTGTAACGTTCCGTTAGCATTAAACCACTGTGAAGCCACGTCTCTGCCTCGTCTAACGGGCATCTACCGGGAGCCGGGGGGGCGCTGCGTGAAGGCGGTGAAGCGGGAGGAGAGCGGTTGGTCCTTCGGGCAGCAGGGGGCGCCATGGCAGGAGGGCTGCGGGGGGTTCTTCCGGGCAGTAGGGGGCGCCATGGCTGCAGCTATGTGGATGGTCCTCCGGGGCAGAGGGGGCGCCACAGCTGCAGGGGTGTGGATGGTCCTCCCGGGCAGCAGGGGGCGCCGCGGCGGGAGGGGTGCGGGCGTTCCTCCGCACCGGAAGGGGGCGCGGCGGGGCGGGGTCGGGCTGGTGTGAGATGTGGCGGTCGGACTCGCAGCTGTCTCCGGACCCGCAACAGGAGAGGAGCTGTGCGCGGTCGCCGCAGTCCTTGGTGTTCCTGAGCTTCTTCGAGCAGGAGTGTCGCGATATTGTCGCGCGCCTGCTCCAGGCTGCCGAGCCCTCGCTGGTGTCGGGCGACCTCAGCGCGTTCGGGCTGGAATCCGCCGCCGAGCCCTCGCTGGTGTCGGGCGATCTCAGCGCGTTCGGGCTCGGATCCGCCGCCGGGTTCGTCACCTCCACGCCGCTGCTGAACTCGCAGGCCGGGAACGATGCGGCCGCGGACACCGCCGCCGCCCGCCCGCGCTCGCCTGGCTTTGAGGCGGCCGCGGCGGCGGCTCTGAGCCCGGCCTGGGGCTCGTCCCGGAGTCTCCGGCCGCCCGCCGCCGGCCCTCGCCCCGCCCGCCCGCAGGCCCTGCCGCGCACAACGGCCCAGCGCGGGGCCGCACCGCAGCTTCGCTGCCGGCAGGGCCCCGCGGCCGGCACCCCGCACCGCAGCGGCAGGCACTCCCTGTCCCAGGCACGGGCCTCGCTGGCGCTGCAGCTCTCCAAGGCCGGGAAGGGGCTCGGTGCCCCGGGATCCAAGCTCCCCCGTCCCGCAGGTGAGCCGGGTCGGGGGAACAGGGTCCCCAGCACGGCGGCAGGCAGTCCCTGTCCCAGGCACGGGCCTCGCTGGTCCTGCAGCTCCCCAAGGCCGGGAAGGGGCTCGGTGCCCCGGGATCCAAGCTCCCGCGCCCCGCAGGAGCAGTTACCTTCGGTCCTTTTGTCCCAGGGGTGGGTTTGGGAGCGCCCGGAGGCTGCTGCTGCCACGGAGCCCTGCTGGGGTGCTGAAGCCTGGACTTGGCCTCAGGCACCGGCCTCAGCTTGGTACCTGGGGACACAGAGAGGTTCGCGGCCGGCGGAAGCAGCCGCCGTGCTGGGGCCCTTTTCCCCCGACCCAGCTCACCTGTGGGGCGCGGGGGGGACTGGGGAAGAGCCGGGGGGTCCCTGAGAGCCCCTAGCACGCCCTTGCCTGTGTTACCCTGGCCCGGCACGGGCCACCGGCAGCCCGGTGGCTTGGAGCCCTCCCCGCGAGCGCTGGTGCCCGCGTGTCGGGACGAGCGGCCCCAGGCGCGGGGCATTTGTAGCTGCTTTGGCGGCTAACGTCTGTGCCTTGTTTGTCCGCTGCAGGTGCTGCCGGCGCTGGAGCGCACCGCCCGCCCTCCCGGAGGCTCCCCGCAGCAGCTCCTGCCCTGGCTTCTCGCTCCCGGCTGCGGGCTCTGGGAAAGGTGGCTACCCCCAGGCGCTTCCGCGGTAAGAGTGAGCCTGGGCCCGAGCCTGGAGGCTCCCCTGTCACGGGAGGGGGAGCTGCTGCCCTGGGAGGGCTGACCCTGAGGGTGCTTGGGCTCAGAGCAGGGGCAGCCCCATTCCCTGAAGATGCATCCAGCAGAGCCTCGGCAGCTCTGGTGCTGTGGGGCAGGGAGCGGACCTGGGCAGTGCGTGTTGCTGCTAGGGCAGTCTCTGAGCAAAGGCTGATGCGCTTTGCTTTGCTTCCCTGCACTCCGTCCACTTCAGGAGTGAGTACACAGGAGCAGTTGTGCAATAGGAGCCAGGATCTGAGGAAAAATGACGAGAGCAAAGAATGGCTGGATGGGACCATCTCAGGAGCAGGTGATCAGTATTCCATGGTGTGGTCCCATGCAGGAATAGGGAGCTGGAGCTCACCCAAGTAGAGTGGAGCCCTTCTGGGGCTTACCTGGCTCTTGACTGCCGAAGGCCTGCTGAAACCCAAGCATCTTGTGGCCATGGCACAGTGAGGAGAGTCTGCATTTCTGCACTGGGCTCAGGTGGATTCTCACCTTGTGTTGGGGTGAGCCTGGGGAAACGTGGGCAGGAGCCCAGAGCTGCTGAGAGCTGGGCTGTGCAGGAGAGCTTCCTCCCAGCAGCACCCGTACGGGCCAGGCCAGCAGCAGCTCTTGGGCTGGAGGGGCTTGAGGACCTCTGGCTCCCATGTGCAGGTTCTGCCCCTGATGCGGAGCAGCAGCGTGGGTGAAGAGGGGCCAGGAATGGCAGTTCTAGTGACGGTGCTTCTCTCCACAGGTAAGGCTGACCAGACGTGTGTGTACGGGGAGTCCTCTCTTTGGAGTGAGGTGCCCCCTGGCCCAGCCCCAGGGGGTAAGGATGCGGGCACTGCTGAGCAGGTAAGAGCCAGCTGTGACCTGGCACCACAGAGCAGCGCTCAGCCGGTGGTTTGGGTCAGCTCTGCAGGAGCTGGGAGGTGACGGCGCCTGCGGCTGCCAGTTTCTGGGTTGGCACCTGAGCTGGTTTCGCCTTTCCCTAGGGTTTGTGCAAGACCTTGTGCCTTTGTGCAGGCTTTGCCCCCTCTCTGCTGCTCAGGGCACTGCAGGCTTCTCTGCGGGTGTTTTTGTCAGAGGTTTTTGAGAGGTGCGCACCCCTCTGCCCTGTGGTGTCGACGCGGGGGTCACGGACAACGCAGGAACGATCAATGTGATCAGCGAGTGCCAACTGGTTACAAAGCTTTAACTCCTCAGATACCATTTCTTGCAGGCACTTACAGTGATTTGGCATATTATGGTTGGATACATGTCTTGAAGACCCGTAGCGACTAACGCACAATTGGTTAAGCACAGGTGTGAGACCTTGACCTCGAAAGCTTGCCAGCAGCCCACAGTTCTCATTAACTCAGTGAATTCCAGCTTCTTCTTATCTTGCTTGCTAAGCTTCCCCAGGCCTCTCATGGCCTTGCTGTATCTTTCAGGATGATTCAGGTTTTGCACCAACTGTGCGTTCTCCTGTGAGAACACTCCACATTGTGGTGTCACTTTTAGACCTCCTGCTCCATCCCTAGGATGGGGTGATGAGCAGAGCCTTGCAGCAGAGTGAGGCTCCAGGGTGTGAAATCTCCTCCCTGCAGCATGTGCCTGTGCTTTTGCAAGCAGATCTGGGGCTCTTTGCTCTGCTGCCAGGTTGGGTCTTGTGACCTACAGGCACTGGCAAATGCTCCCTGAGAAGTGACCAATGGCCCCTTTGCCAGGCACCACTGCTGCACTGAGCACCCCTGGCAGTGGTGGGTGTGAGGCTGGGGTGCTGGTTGCGCTGCGCTGGAGCAGGCCCAGGCTCCTGCAGCAGGGGTGAGTGTGGGATGGAGCTCTGCTCTGACACCCTGAGGGGGCTGAGCAGGGCTCCCTAAGCCCCAGGAACTGCTGGGCTGTGTGTGCTGCCTGCAGGTGCTCCTCCACAGGGTGGGCTGTGCTAGAGCTGTGCTGCAGCTCGTTTTAGGGGGTGACCACCCCTGCATCACACTTAGAATCTGCCCTTGCCAGTCTGCAGGTGATCAGCTGTCTCAGGAGCTGAAGCATGTGAAGAGCGAGCTGGAGCGAGTGAAGGCCGAGCTTGGTACGTGGGGATGGCTGGTTTGGGGGCTGTGGGGTACCCTCAATCCAGGTGATACCACCTGCACTTGTGTCTGGAGGCTGGGGCCTGCAGCTCCTTGGGAACAGAATCATGGAATCCCAGACTGGTTTGGATTGGAAGGGACCTTAAAACTCATTGAGTGTCCAACCCCTGCCACGGGCAGGGACCCCTTCCACTGGAGCAGCTTGCTCCAAGCCCCTGTGTCCAACCTGGCCTTGAGCACTGCCAGGGATGGGGCAGCCACAGCTTCTCTGGGCACCCTGTGCCAGCGCCTCAGCACCCTCACAGGGAAGAGCTTCTGCCTAAGAGCTCAGCTCAGGCTCCCCTGCTCAGGGCTAGACAGGACGCCTGCTGCTGCTGGTGGGTCTGGGTGTGGGGTGTTCAGGATGGGCTGGGCACACACCTGCTTGCCTCCTGCATGCAGCTGAGAAGACTGCCCAGTGTGAAGCCTATCACCAGGCGATCTGCTCCTTCCAGGCTCAGCTCAGGGCAGCAGGTACGTTCTCCTGCTGGAGTGGGCCCTTGCCCCAAGCGGGCTGCAGGGATGCTCCAGTGATCCCTTGCCAGGGTAACTGAGGGCTGCGTGGTGGAAGGGGCGCACAGCTCGTGGCCTTCTCCTTGTGGTGGGTGCTTGGTGCTGGGAGCAGCAGAGCTTTGATGCTGCCTTTGCTCCACAGGAATCTGGAAGATGCAGAAGTGAAGGAAAGTGGTGACTCGGGGAGAGCCTCACAGCAGCACATGGGAACAGAGCCATGAGAGCTACTTCTTGCCCACCTGACCTGTTGGACAATGATATGTGAAGCTTTTAAACTAATTCATTTTGCACTCTTTGTATTTTAAATAAAGTTGTCTTTTTGCAGTGAGTGAGGCTTTGCTGTTTCCTGGTGCTGGACGAGTACCTTGTGCTGCCCACTGTTCTGCTGGGGAGACAGGGCAGCTCTGTCCAGTGGTTCTGGTCAGCCACGCTTGCATGGAGGATGTGGGTGCTGGTAGATGGGGGCACAGCACGGCTTCTGGGAAAGCGTTTCTGGACAAACCCAGTGCTTCCATGTGGGATGTTTGGATGTGGTGGTGGCATCCAGGTTTCTGCCTTAAAACTACCTTCATGCTGGATGTGGGAAGAGCCAGTGGCTGCTGATGGCACAGTGGGCTTCTGCAGCCATTTAGCTGCTACTTATCACTTCTTAGCTGGTGGGTGCAGGTGGGGGGAAGCAGCTCCTGGGACTCCGTCCCTTACTGTTCCTGCCTGCTAGTGCTGGAGGCCTGGCCCTGCTACCTCCTCTCTGGCAGGTTGATGCAGTCTGCTTGTTGCACTGCCTCACGGCTGGATGAGACCCTGGAGACTCTGGCTTGGCTGGAGCTGGCAGCATCCTGAGGGTGGGCTGTGAAGACCAGCCTGCTTCTGCTCCCTGTTACCTCTGGCTGGTGTTCCTGGCTGCCCTGGAACGCAGCCTGTGGCCATTCCAGGGGTGGCTGCAGTGGGATGTTTCATCTCCCTCTTTCAAACCCATCACCCCTCGTCCTGCTGCAACAGCCTCTGCTGAAGAGTCCCCATCTCTCTTACAGGCCCCTTTCCATTGTCTTCAGGTCATTTTGCCTCCCCACCCCTGTGTGTGCTCGCTGCCCGCTCGGCTCTCCCAGCCCTTTGGTGCGGCCCCGGCGGTGGCGCTGGAGCAGAGCCGTGCCCGCGGTGCCGGGCCGGGGCTGCCTGCGGGGGCTGCGGCAGGAGCGGGTCTCTGCCGGCCGCGGAGGGCGCTGCCAGCTCCCGGCTGCTCCGCCGGGGCTCGGCGCTGCCTGTTGCTCCCGAGCTGAGGAGGCTGCAGCGGGCCTGGGCGCTGGCCAGGACCCCCCCGCTGCGGCGGACGCGGGGCCGGGCCGGGGTCTCCCTCACGGGAGCGGGGCTGGAGAGCCGCCTCCTCCATGGCTTTTCCCAGGGAGCACGGCGGGTGCTCGTGGCAGGCTGGGAGAGGGATGGTCGAGCCTAGAGGAGAGAAGGCTGCGTAAGGGGAGCCTGAGCTGAGCTCTTAGGCAGAAGCTCTTCCCTGTGAGGGTGCTGAGGCGCTGGCACAGGGTGCCCAGAGAAGCTGTGGCTGCCCCATCCCTGGCAGTGCTCAAGGCCAGGTTGGACACAGGGGCTCGGAGCAGCCTGGTCCAGCAGAAGGTACCCCTGCCCCTGGAGGAGCTTTAATGTCTCCTCCACCACAAACCAGTTTGTCATTCTATGTTTCCATGCTGAGCCGTGCTGATCCCCCGCTCCGGTGCCGTTTATGCCTCGTTTTGTTAAAAGAACAAACATCAGTGACCGGAGGGCGGCCGAGCACGGGGCACCGGTGGGGCTGGGAGGGGACGGGGCTTGTTCCGCTTGCCCAGCCCTTTCCCCGGGGCGGCGGGCGGGTCTGCGGCGAGCCGGGGGCTCGGGGGCATGGCCGAGCGCCGGTGCCTGTTCCTCATGCTGGGCTGGGGCGCTGCGATCCGGAACCCGGCGGGCGGAGCCCGGTCCACGCTCCAACCCCTTCGGCAGCGGCGGCAGTCCCGGGGCGAGCGCAGCGGGACCGCACCGGTACCAGGCGAGCCGCGCCACCGGTGAGTCTCGGCGGGCGCCTCCGGCGGGCCGGGCGCGGCCTGGCGCAACCGGTGCTGCGCTTGCATCAGCCGCCGCCCGCACGTGCTGTACCGGTGCCCGTCTCCGGAGCAGCGCTGGGCTCCCGGCGGGATGGAGCGCGGCTGGGAGCTCCTCGGGGCTGGAGATGCCCCCGCGGGTGCTGAGGGGGGTGGGTCCCGAGGGGGATTGACGGCCCCCGGGTTGCGGCGGGGTGCGGTAAGTACCGGGGTGCGGTGGGTACCGGGATGCCCCGGGGTGCAGTGGGCACCGGGATGCGGTGGGTACCGGGATGCGGTGGGTACCGGGATGCGGTGGGCACCGGGATGTGGTGGGTACCGGGATGCGGTGGGCACCGGGATGCGGTGGGTACAGGGATGCGGTGGGTACCGGGATGCCCCGGTATGCAGTGGGTACGGGGATGCCCTGGGGTGCGCTCGGCGCCGATATGCGGTGGGTAGCGGGGTGCGGTGGGTGCCGGGATGCGCTGCTTGTCGCCCGACACGTTGCCGCTCTGCCCTCCCGATGCTCTCCCGTCTCTGGTGACAACGTGGCTTCTGCGCGTCTCGGCCACCTTCCCCGGAGCCACTCGCTTCCTCGAGCCCAGCCGCCACTCACCATAGGCAGGCTCCTCTGACGGGTGCTGGGGGTCTGGGTGTTTAACGTGCTGGTTCCAGCGGGCAGCAGGGCCCGCGCCGCTCCTGCTCGGGGCCGTTTGCGGGTCTTTTGCGGAAGGGCTGAGCAGGATCCCGCTGAGATGCTTCCTCTCGGGTGTCAGAAATGGTTGGACCCATCCAGCACCGCTGGGGAGGGCGGCAGAGCCCTCTGGGCACTTGGTGTTCCCTTGAAACCTGTCCCGGAGCTGCACATGGGCTGGGACGGCTCCTTGGGCTAGAACTGAACAGAGGTTGTGGTGTGTGCCAGCAGAGAAGGTTTCACAGAATCCCAGGCTGGTTTGTGTTGAAGGGACCTTAAAGCTCCTCCAGCTCCAACCCTGCCACAGGCAGGGACCCCTTCCACTGGAGCAGCTTGCTCCAAGCCCCTGTGTCCAACCTGGCCTTGAGCACTGCCAGGGATGGGGCAGCCACAGCTTCTCTGGGCACCCTGTGCCAGCGCCTCAGCACCCTCACAGGGAAGAGCTTCTGCCTCAGAGCTCAGCTCTGTTTCCCCTCGGGCAGGTTCAAGCCATTCCCCTTGCCCTGTCCCTACATCCCTTGTCCCAAGCCCCTCTCCAGGTTTCCTGCAGCCTCTTTAGGCACTGGAATCTCTAAGGTCTGCCCAGAGCCTTCTTTGATTTGCTGGTTATGGGGAAGCCAAGCTGATGGATGCCAATTCAAACCCCATAATGCCCCTCAGAGGAAAAGGGTCACAAGCTTATCCCCTTGTATACTGTTGTGGTTTAACCCCAGCCAGACAGCTTTTCACTCACTCCCCCCCCCCCCTTCTTGCCCTCCCCCTACTCCTGGAGGGATGGAGAGGAGAATCAGAAAGAATGCAACTCCCACAGGTTGAGATAAGAACAGTTTAGTAACTAAGGTATAACACAAATCACTGCTGCTACCACCAATAATAGTAATGAGAAAGGAAATAACAAGGGACGAGAATACAACATCTCATCACCAGCTGACCGATAACTCGGCCCCCCAGCCCGACCAAGCACCGACCGATACCTCCTCCAACCCTGCAGTCCCAGCCCTTCCGGGTAACTCTCGCAGTTACCTCCTGGCCATGACGTGCTGTGCTATGGAATACCTCTTGGGTCAGTTTGGGTCAGGTGTCCTGTCCCTGCTTCCTCCCGGCTCCCCTCCTCCCTGGCAGAGCATGAGGCCCACAAAGTCCTTGGCCCGACCAAAACATCATTGTTATCAGCTCTGTTCCCAGCCCGAAAGTCAAAACCCAGCACTGCACCGGCTACCGAGAAAGAGAAAAATGACTGCTCCATATACTGATACTGATACACACAGCTTGGTGTCAGGGCAGGCGAGTCCAGCACTAGCTGGAGTGTGGTTTGTTTCCCAGGGGAGGGAGCAGGGGGCAGGCAGAAGGTGCTGGTGGTTGGGTGGTGCTGGGCACAGGATGGCTGTGGGCACTGGGAGGCTGCAGCTCTTTCACCCTGTGCCAGGTGCCTGCCCTGCAGGGTGCTCGTCTCCCAGCAGCTTTTGGTCGCAGATGGCTGCTGTGAGCAAAGGGATAGAGCTGCAGCCTGCGGAGCACGTGAGGGATGTGCTCCAGTGCCTGCGCTGTGTGTGTGGTCACGCAGCCCTGCCGAGGGCGTAGCACGGATGCTGGGAGCGAAGGAGGAATGGCCACATCCCAGTGAGTCAGCCAAACCCTCCTCTGGAGGAATGCTGCTCCTCTGTGCCACTGCTGCTGTGTGTGCCCACGCGCCGGGCCGGAGGGATGCGCCAGCAGCAAGTCTGGGCTGAGGGATCTCCAGGCAGCCAAATTAGTGGGGAGTTGCTGGGAGACAGTGGGCGAGTCCTGGGATGTGCCCGGGGGCCATGTGGTGGGGCCCACGCAGTGCTTGTGCAAGGAGCCTGGTCCCCACCATGGGCTCGCTGCGCACGTGGGGTACACACAGCACCGGTCTCTGCCCCACCAGTGTGGCAGGCCTCAGTGCTGACGGGTAAGCTGGGAGCAGGCACTGCTGCAGGGGGCACAGTGTGGGTCCTGCGGGACACTGAGCTCCACACTCCTCTGGTCCCTTCTGCAGGGGCTTCGAGCAGCTGAGCACCACCCACGAGAGGACCTTGAGGGGAAAATGGCCAGTGTTGGGAAGAAGCTGATCCGCCGGCGCGTGGTGGACCTGAGCTCCGAGGACACGCGCTTCGCTCGCTGCCTCTCCACGCTGGACCTCATAGCCCTGGGAGTTGGCAGCACGCTGGGGGCTGGCGTGTACGTGCTGGCTGGGGAGGTGGCCAAGGATATGGCTGGGCCCTCCATCGTCCTCTGCTTTTTGGTGGCTGCTCTCTCATCGGTACTGGCCGGACTGTGCTACGCAGAGTTTGGGGCCCGTGTCCCCAAGACTGGCTCTGCCTACCTCTACAGCTACGTCACCGTTGGCGAGATCTGGGCTTTCACAACTGGCTGGAACCTCATTCTCTCCTATGTGATAGGTGTGGGACTTGGCTGGGTGCTGGCCCATGCGCTTGGGCTCCTTCCAGCACTG